TGCTGTCTAATTCCAATTCTGCATCAAAAATTAGCTTGCCTGTCAATCCTCTCTGGGTTTAGTCCTACGTGATGGCCCCACCTGCAAGTCACAGTATGGCACAAAAAATTACTCCTTACACTATTTTGCAGGGGCAGACCTAGCCATTTTATGCTCAAGTTTCCATCTTTGGTGTGTGGTCTGATGCACAAGTTTTACAGGTCAGTTTTCTGCCAGATCTCCTCTGTGCCACTCGAGCATAAACGTAAGTCCTTGTGAGAAGAATTATCTTACTCCTTTCAGTTTTGATAATGAAACTCAAGTCAGGCCCAAAACATCCACTGCAGTTGCCACAGAGCAAGTTGTGATTTGTTCTTGGCTCTCTCCTCCTTAAATGCAAAATGTTGTTTAATAAACTTTAACTGTAAAATTTCACACCATCTGTGTTATCCACTTTGTTCTTGCTTTTTTCTGATGGCTTAAACAAGTCAGATCTGTTCGATTTTCTTGAAGGTGGCAAAGGTCATATCCCTGAAATCAACTTTCTCATAAAAAACAGAAAGTCATCAATATGTTAAGACAGATAAAAAACTTTCTTCCTATGCAAAAATGAATGATCACTTGGGACAAAAGTCCCCAACCATGGTGATATTTAAAAGACATATAGATGCAGCAGTTAGGGACATGGTTTAGTAGTGGCTGTGGCAGTGCTGGGCTAATGGTAGGACGTTTTGATCTTAGATATCTTTTCCAACTGAAATAATTCTATATATGACTCTATATATGATATGTATTTTTCAGTATGAGAGGAAGGAAAAGTGTTTAACTACATGCATGCAGCAACAGTATTTGTCTAAAGTAATTTTTGTGAATCAATGTAAAAAACAGTGTGTGGGACATTTGGGGCAGTTAAGCTAATATTACCACTGGTTCAGAATTTCCCAAGTTTTTATACTGCCAAAACCTATCACATTATTCAAACATGATGCCAAGTCTCTGCTTCCTTTCATATTATCACATAACTTATATTTTTTCATTAACTGAGGCCATTTTTCATATTAATTTTTGACTACTCATCAGACAACAGCAGAGAGGACATCCTTTTCACTCTGTATTTTTGATCAAAAAAACCCTAACCATGCTGTTATTAAAAGAACTGCAACATAATGAAATCTATTGTTGTGAACCTGGGCAAAGAACTTAATTCATTTGGCACTAGGCATTTAGAATAACTGCACAACGGAGAAGCACAAAAACCATCAGTAAAAGCCAATTATAGAAATCAAGTTAGAGACTAGAAATTAAGTTTTGAGTCTTTATCTCAGAGGGCGAAAATATTACAGAGCTTTTTAATTTTTATTAAAACTTCAATTTGTACCTTGAAGGCCATACCACTGACATTACTGCTATTGTCCTCTTTTCTAGGGTATGGTGGGGTGGATTTTATTCACTCACTCGCTTATGCTGCTGCTGTTTGACATCATACATGTTTACACCTGGGTCTTGAAATTGTCAGCGGAGCTGTTTCAAATAAACCTTTCCCTTTGTGCAGTGAGGCGACCAGAAGGGCAATGCCAACCTCGTTACGATCTCCCTCATCCTCCCTGCTGTGACTTTCGTCCCAGGGCCTCTCGAAACCATTTCCCTGTTGGTTTCTCTTGATAATACGAGGGAACAGCGTGCTGCCCCGAACCCGAGGCCATGCCCCCCTGAGCCCGGCTCTCACGCCAGGCGCTCATTCCCGTCTCCTATCGCACGTTCTGCTTTCGGAGCCCGCAGCGCCCGCCACAGCCCGCGCGCGCCGCCCGCCCGCCCGCTGATGACGTCGCGCCGTGGCCGGAAGTTGCCGTTGCGGAGGCGCGGCGCGCCGGCCGCGTCCCTGCTGGCGGGACCTGGGAGCGGCGCCGCGCTTCCCGGCGCTTCCCGGCGCTTCCCTGCCCTTCCCTGCCCTTCCCGGCCCTTCCCGGCTGCCCGGAGCGGCCCCGGGGTGCTGCTGCTGGAGCTCTGTTCTGACCTTGTTCCCTCAGCCCTTCCTGCCAGGTAAAGCGCCAAAGCCGCCGTTACGGCGTGCGCGCAGCCAGGCGCGCTCCGGGGCCAGCGGTGCGAAGGGATGCCTCTACTTTGGTTTTTAGCTCGCTTAAAATTTTTCAGCTCGCGTTAGTGGAAAGCTGGTGGTTCGTTCAGCCGAAACTGGTGAGCTCTTGGAGTTGCAGCCTAGATGTGGTAGTTCCGCCTGGCTTGGTGTGTTTCAAGTTAGTACATCTTGGTTAGATTCAGTTTGCTGAGGGAACCTTGGAGATCCTCCAGTTCCATTCCTCTGCCGTGGGCAGGGGACACCTCCCACTAACCCAGAGCTCCATCCAGCCTGGTCTTGGAGCACTTCCAGGGATGGGCATCCACGGCTTTTCTGGGCAACCTGTTCCAGTGCCTCAACACCCTCACAATAAAAAATTTCTTCCCCGCATCCATTCTAAATCAATGGCCTTCATAAGGCTAGTAAAGCATATTCAAAAGTTCGTGAGGATAATATGCCACAAATTTTGTAGGTAACATCCGTCTAATGTATTACGTCCTCAAGCAAAAACTCCCTAACTATTTTGTTTTATTGTGGGGCTTTGACGAGCCACTCCACGCCCCTTCAATTTTTTTTCCCCCTGATTGATATAGCATGCTTTTGGAGTGTATCCATTTGTGTGGTAGTAAACAATGGATGTGTGTCTTACCAGAGAGATGTATATTTAAGGTGATTAGCATTCCCAGAAAACAGTCATTAGATATTCCCTGTTTCCCTCCCCCGCAAAGTAATGAAAATACTTAAAAGTAATTTCAGAAAGTTCTAAAACTTCAGGGTGGTATGAATGTGTCAGAGGAGATTCTGCTTATATTTTGAGACAGATTTTTTTTTTCTGCTGCATCTATTTAATTGCACCTTTTTTTTCATTTTCTACTTTTCAAATTTTGGTATAAAGCCACATATATATTTTTGGCAATAAATATTAAGAAAAGAGTGGTATAAAAAACTAGTTTTTTAGTATTCAGAGCTATGTCTGAAGGTTTCAGCTCCAAATTTTCAGCTCCACTAACACAAGCTGAAAATTTGGAACAATTGATAGAGGATACCTCATTTTTCTTGATACCAGGATACCTGATTTTCTTTTTTATCGAAGCAATACATCGTTGTTGAGTACTGCAAGTACTTTGTCAAGATTTTCTTTTCTCACGTAAAGTTAAAGTTTTCAGTATGCAAGTCACAAGTAATGGAACTTAACCTGTGTCTAGGTTAAGTTCCTAGGCTATACTTTGAAAATGAGGTTTTCAACTATTTTCTCATTTGAGATGAGAAAAAAAGCTATGCTGTTTTTTCTAGGAGTGCAAGCTGCATGGCAATTGTTGTGTTTTGAGTTTTATGAACACATGTACCAAGGTGAATTCCAGTGTGTAGATGTTAAAAATCACAAAGGATACATGTAGCTATTCTATATGAATATACTGCTTTTCCATAAAAACAAAACCAACAAAGAAAAAACCCAAACCAAAAACTTAGAGTTGTTAGAAGTAAGTTTATTTTTGCTGCATCTTCTGTTAAAATTACAGATTGAAGCAGAAATTTTTTTTTCTTCTCCATATTTCTAGTGCAGCCACTGGAATTACTAAAATCAGTTTATATTAATATATTACACCGACTGCTGCCATTGGACACTACAATATAAAATATACATTAAAGTATTGGAGAGCATTGAAAGGAGGGCTGCACAGTTGGTGAAAACGTTGTGAGGGATGGCTAAGGTCACTTGGCTGTTCAGCTTGCAGGACACTGAGGGGATATCTCATTGCAGCTACAACTTCCTCACAAGGGGAAGGGAAGGGACAGGCACTGATCCTTAATCTCTGGTTATCAGTGACAGGACAGAGGAAATGGCCTGAAACTGAGTCGGGGGGTTTAGGCTGGATATTCAGACAAGGTCCTTCACCCTTAGGTGAATGTGGTTAGACCCTGGAACAGCTCCCCAGGGAAGTGGTCACAGCACCAGCCTGACAGAGTTCAAGGAGCATTGGGACAATGCTCTCAGGCCCATGGTGTGACTCTTGGGGTGTCCTGTGCAGGGCCAGGAGTTGGGACTTGATAGTTCTAATGGTGCCTTCCAACTCAGCTTATTCTATGATTCTGTGGACATGTGACTGCAAACCAGGGATGGTTAAAATGGAGTCCAGGTGAGTTTCCTGTTTTGGAACTTTATTATGGATGTCCATCTGCTATCATGTTCAAAAGGAAACCTTTATGGCTCATCAATATTGACTGTTGAATACAGCTTATATTTCATGTTATCTTGCTTTAATTAACGAAAAGAGGTCTTTAATGAGTTGACTGTGCAACTTGACGTAAGCAATGGAATTTTTTTCATCCATTGCATTATAAATATGTTGTCTATATTGATTTCTTTTTTATTGTGACACTAAATTAATGATTTTTTCCAAAAGATGAGTGGAGTTACAGTTCCATTTAGAATTCTTTCTGTTTAGTCCTAAATATTGCTAATTTATCTAATACAATAAAAATATGTTCAAATAGAAAATTCCAGGTTCGTAAAACACTTGGAAGACTTGTTGTGTTAAAGGCTGTTATCAGACAGCACACTAGTACATTCAATCATGGTATACACTTTTATCTTTAATAGAATATTTTGAAGAGAAATGGAGTTTGTAATATGTTTACAAGATAGAGGATCAGTGTGTGGGAACAAAATACTTTTTACTGATATTCTGAAAACCTTGGCAGGAGATATTCTGCTATGTTACTATATATGTATATATTGATCTACAGTATTTAAGCTTCAAGGATTAGAAGTACAATTCTCATAGATGTCTAAAACTGTAAAATTATAGTTGGTAGTTCACATGACATAGTAGTAACACTGTTTTCTAACTGCTTGTGACTATTAACAAATGATTCTTTCATTATGTTGGCAAATAAATTAAAGCATGTCTCTGTTACAGATTGTAATGTGTTTATGATATGGAAGAATCATCTTGGAAACTTGTCAAGTAAACGTATATACACTCAACAATTCATTCTCCAGAGTTTATGGTTTATGCAGCTTGAAAAGCTGTCTATTGGCCATCATGAGTTCATCCTCTCCAGTCAACTACTCTGTCACAGAAGATAGAAAGTGAGTTTCATTTCTGGTTTTTTTAGTCTAGCAATATAGTTTTCGTTTTTGTGGTTTATTTTCTAGATCTCTGAAATTGTGTAGTTCAGACTGAAAAAAGAACCAGCCACGGTGTGATATATGCAAGCTATACCATGTCAATACAGTTATTAGATCTTCTAATTATGGAATGGCCAGGGTTGTAACAAACCTCTAAGATCCTTGAATTCCAACCCTCTGCTCTGGACAGGGACACCTTCCACAGGACGAGATTGCACAGAGCACCTTGGTCTTGAGCCAGCTGCCAGGAATGTGGTGTCCACAGCTTCTCTGGGCAACCGGTTCCAGTGCCTCACCACTCTCACAGTAAAGGATTTTTCTAATATCTAATCTAAACGTTCTCTTCTTCTGTTTAAAACCATTCTTTATTGTGTTGTCACTACATGCTATTGTAAAATGTCTCTCTCCGTCTTTCTTGTAGACTCCCTTCAGGTGCTGGAGGGCCACAGTTGGGTCACCCTGAAGCTTCACTTCTCCAGGGTGAACAAACCCAATTCCCTCAGCCTTGCACCAGTTTACCTCAGGAGAGGTGCTCTATCCCTCTCATCAACTTCTTGGGCATCCTCTGGACATGCTTCAAGAGGTCCATGTCGTTCCTGAGCTGATGCAGCCCTGCAGGTGGGGTCTCAGCAGAGCAGAGCAGGGGGCAGAATCCCCTCCCTGGCCCTGCTGCCCACACTGCTTTGGATGCAGCCCAAGACATGTTTGGCTTTCTGAGCTGGGAGTGCCCATGGCTGGGTCATGTCCAGCCTCTCATCCACCAGCACCCCCAAATCCTTCTCAGCAGGGCTGCTCTGATCTGTTCATCCCCAGCCTGTGCTGGTGCTGGAGCTTGCCCTGATCCACATGCAGCACCTTGCACTTGGTCATGGTAAGCTTCCTGAGATTCCCATGGGCCCACTTCTTGAGCTTGTCCAGGTCCCCCTGGCTGGCATCCTGTCCTTCAGGTGTGTCAGCTGCACCACTCAGCTTGGTGTCATCAGCAGACTTGGTCAGAGAGCAGTCAATCCCTTTGTCTGTGCCATTAATGAAGATACTAAATAACATGATCCCAGTATGGATCCTGAGGGACACCACTTGTCATTGATGTTCTTTTGGGACTCTGAGGCATTAATTACTATCCTCTGGATGCTACTGTCCAGCTGTTCTCATATCCACCAGCAATGAGTCCACCCATCAAATCCATTGCTCTCCAATTTAGAGAGAAGGATGTTGTGGAGGACTGTGTCAAAAGACTTTACAGAAGCCGAGATAAATGCCATCTGTAGCCCTTCCTTTGTCCACTGATGTTGTCATGTTACTGGGTGATAAATTGTCTACACCAGGTGAGCTAACACAGTGATTGTTCTCCCACAACCATTGGCCTGTGGAACTGCACAATGCCCATTGTGTAAGAAGGAGAACTGGAAGTTCACCCAGTGCCCTGCCAGCTTGACTCTGTCAGCTGTAACATTGGTGTCCCTGACCACTGTTACCAGAGAGACTCCTAGGACAGAGGAATTCGTGCTTAGAGGAGAGGGAAAATACTTAAATGATAATGAGTAAATTATTATCATGTGCATTTTTATTCTGGGACAATCAATGAATATGTATGTAAAATACAGTATATAATCAGAAATTTTACTATACTCAGCATGCAAGAGTGTAGGAGGAGCTACTACTTGTGCATCTGGCTGAATAAAGAATGCCTGCTTCTTAATATTACATTGCTGTTAAGGAGTTTGTTATTTTCTTGAATTTTTGGCAGCAGTCACTCCATCACTGCAGATGTGCGTACTGGCCATCTGATGTGCAAGAATTGTCACAGGGGTATAGGAGACATGACAGAGGTAGTTTTTGTCTCCATTTGGGAACAAAGTTGTGGAGTTCCAGAAGGGTTTTCTACAGTAGCTGTGGATGTAGAGGTTGGTTATAAGTGTGGCACATGGCTCTTATTTTTTTAAACCTGATATGTGTTTGATCTTTGGCACAATTAAAGTAAACTTTAATTAATTCTGTTTATCTTAACTGAGAGAGCTATTTGTCACAATTTAAAATCTGATTGTAAGAACCTGCTGGTTGTATAGAAATAGCACAATTCAGTGAATAGATACTTTGGTTAGGAAGTCAGGCTACGGACTGCTTCTTCAACTGGAGAAGTTTGGCATAATTACACTGCTACATAGTAAGTGAAAGAAAGTTTGTCTGATACAAAATTACTCTACATTTTCAGCCGTATATGGAAGACAAGCTAGTGAAAACTGTTTCCCTATGATGTTCTTTGTTGACTGTAATTAGCTGACTTGTGAAGTGAGTGAGAATTTTTGAGCATTCTGTGTTGTAGTACTCAAAAGATGTTTCACTTGCTGATATGCTTTCTTAAAGAGTCTTAAAGTACTACCAAAAATGGTGTCTTAGATAAAAGGTCTAGCTCGTAAAATATGTATTTTCCTTCAAAACCAATGATCAACAAACTATTAATATGTGAAAAAGGAAGTGCAAAGCAGTCTCTGATTTCCTCCTAGAATGAAAATCATACATGATTTCAAACTTTCTGGGGATTTTGCCTGATTTTGTGACTTAAGCTTCCAAGAACTTTATGCTTGTAGCACTTCTACTGGTAAATGAATATGGAAGAAAGACTCTTCTACAGCTGGTAGTATGAGGCTTTCATAAAGTACTTACTGCATGTGCTGATGATGCTGTGAGGATTAAGGAAAATACCACAGAAATAAGGTGGCTAATTAAGGAGAATTCTTATTTTATTTGAAAATATTTAAGTAATAAATTAGTGAAGTGGCAACATAATAATATTCTGCCAGTTTTCTTGTCTTTTTTTTTAAGTTGCTGACTTTGCTCTATACTGAGAACAAAAATAGGCTTTTCTGCTTTGTATTTTTAAGTGCTTACTAATAATATTGTAAGTTTAGAAGCTGTGCATAAGAAGTTATTTTCAATGCTTTTTTACCCCAGTACTTACAGTTATGTTGTTTGTCTTCATGCTCTTATGCACATTTTTCATTTCTATACCGTCCCTAATTTGCTATTGTGGTATTAATGTAACTTTTTTTTGCAGTGAGTTTTTTTTCCCACTACTGGTCCAGTTAAGCACATAGTTAAATTTTTCCCTGAGTAAGTTTTATTGTGCAGGTATCTCCAGTACACTCTTTTTTTTCCCCTGCGTAATTAATAGAAGAATTGAAAGGAAGAGCTTTATTAAGAGCTGATTGTCATAAAAACCAAAGTAATTTCCTTTATAATTTGAAGGTGGGTTTTTTTAATTACTTTAAAAAAAGTACTTGTTCCCTTGCTTTCATTTCATGTGCTCTCCTTGCAAGAAGTATTAAATATCAGGCTTAAGTAAGTAGAATGAACCTTCCTGCTGCCCACAAACTATCAAAATGGTTACCCTTTTTTTAATCCTTGTTCTTTGCATTAGTCACCCCTAGCTTTCAGTTCAGGTCCTGTTTTTCCCTCTACCTGGTGCTTTGTTAACCTTGGTGCCACCAGGTTTTTGGCTGTTTTTTGTTGAGATAGATACTTCTTGTATAATCCTTGAATAAAACAACCTACTTTTCATCTGTTTTCCCCAGCCATGGGAAAATAAAGGTCTACCAAACTTTTATATGATGTCCACAACAAACCTTTTATATAGTTTACAGGTGCTCTTGATACCGAATTGATTTTTGCCTTTTTTTTTTCTTTTATATACTTTGTATGTTCTTTACACATATATTTGTAACTCTGTAGCCTATCATAGTATTCGTAGCTAGCATTTTACCTACTCTATTAGACGGAGAGACAAAATAAATTTCCCAGTAGCTCCAACCTGGGGGTCCAGTGTTAGATTTTTGTGGACACCAAGGTTGAAACTAGGTCTCCGAGACACATTTTCATAAACCAAATTTAGTTCCTGTCTAAATTAGGGGACTACAAAGAAGATGAACTGTGAGGAAATTACCTTACCACTTACATCTCTAATTGGGGATTTTTGTTAGATATGCTAATTTGCTAAACATAAAAGTTGTATACGTATTATGTTACACTTGCATCTTCAGTGTTTTCCACCTGGAGAATTGTGCACCTAAGGATCCTTATAATGGTCCCCTTTTTATCACCTGTGTCTGGCTCATGATTTTAGGATGAGTGAAAAAGTATCACTCGCTGTTCAGATTCTTTTTACTTCCTTCCTGACTTACCACCTTATTTTCTTAATTGCATTAGCTAAGAGTTGCTTAAAATAATTATATGGGATTTTACTGATTGTTTGCCCTTTGAGATGTGTTGGTTCCTCTGGGTATGTAAATACTGAAAGCTAATAATGTGCCAGTGATTTTCTTGCAGTACATGTAGGTTTTAATGATCTTTCTCTCCTACAAATATTAAAAATATAAAATGTGTTAAGTACATGGCACCCTGTGGACCAAGTACTGATGACATACAATTATTCTGATCACACAGATGAAATCCATCTTGGTTTTAAATGAAGATTTGACAGAATTTATTAAATTATAAAGTATTTATAGGCTGCAGCTAAAAACTGATATTTCATCATTTGTTGTTATTAATATCTTTAAAGGCTATATTTAATCTAGAACACTGTTCCACTTGTTGATGACATTTGTGTTAGTCAGCTCATGTGAGAAAACATATCATCAGGTAAAGGTTTTAGTTGTGAAAAATGTTAATGATGCCTGTGCATAAATCTAGGAGTAAAGCGATAATTTTTTTATTTAGAAAAACCCAGTATACTGGAATTTATGAAACTGTTCTTTCTGTAATTAATTAAGACTTCATGTAGACCAAGGTAAGCTATTTTAGTATTTTCAGCTCTGCATGAAATGATGCCAACTTTTTTTGTTCAGTTTAATCATGTTTCTTTTTACAGTTTAATTCATATTTAGTGGCCCTTTCACTTTTGTGTGGAACAGCTGATTAGTAGAGCCATTGTTACATAGCTTTAGTAATTTGAAAAATTATGTATATCAATAATGTAAAGGCTGAGTTTCAGTTCCTGAAATACTTTGAGTTGTCCACTTTGAAGTTATAATAATTGATTGCAAGATTATTTAGCTAGTTAATTAAATATGTATTTTTATACTAATTTTTCACTCTGTACATGAAAACTTGTTTTGGTTATTTTGATAGTGCTTATGATGCTCAGAGGCAAATCCTGTTACCTGCCAAGTAGATTTTCCTTTGGCTGAAAAAGTAGTGGAAATAACAGAGTATTTTACAGGACTACACCTTTAGTTTATTTTTTTTTTTGTGAACAGTTGTTTATCTGTAGTTTAGATGTATATATTTTTGAAAACAAAATGTGGAAGAGTGAGATTTATTCCACATTTATGCATTTGTTGTATGACAGTGATGCTTTTGAGACAGTAATTCATGTTAAAAAATGAGCCTTACTGAAGAAATAGACAGAAACTTGCTAGTCATTTTAATATATATTATTGAAATGATGTTTTTAATCATCCTGGAAATTTATTGGATCAATAATAAAAATAATGAAAAGAATGCTTAAATCGACTTAGGGAAATTAAAAGTGCATATCTAATGTAAGTTCCTGCTTTTACATCTCTCAAAATTTGCATAATAAGCAACAGTAGGCATAGCTTTACTTAAGTGAATGTATAGAGCTTTGGACCCACAATCTGACAATTAAATAAGGGAACATTAAAACTTACAAGGAATGCTTATGTTTTCTTTAAAACAATACTATTTTGCAGCTTACATAATGAGGAATTTGAGCTACTGCAGAAGAGCAATAAATCGGAATTGGATGCTGTTTTAGGTCTGAAATGGAAACTTCTTCAAGCTAAAAAAGAAAATTTGGACTTGGCTATTCAACACAATCAAGAAGTAAGGATGTCTTTTTCACTTGCCTTATTTTACTCTTGGAATAAATGTCATCTTATTGAAGTAATATTCTCAGATGGTGGATCAAAAGCATAGTCTGTAACTGGAAAATATGAAGAAAGGTATCACTGTACAGACCTCTCATGTCTGTTCATAGATACTGTTAGCACCTCTGCTGTCATTGTTAATAGTTAAAGGTGAGGTAGGTAACTCAAGCGCTTCTCAACAGCAAAGTGCAGAAGACTCTTGTGCACCTTGAGCTCAAAGTAAGAGATTGTTTGTTTGTTTGTTTTAATCCAGATAGTTCCATGGATCTATTTTTTGCAATGACACCACAGTTGATAAGCCAGTGGGAAAATAGCAATTTAGCTGAAGCACAAGAATAAGTCATTGTGGGACAAACAGGCTTCTCTTATTTTGGGTACATACCCACATAATAAATGTACACGGAACAACAAACTTGTTTTATTGGGTGTACTTAGCCAAAACCAGATGAATGAGCATCCACATCAACTTCTCCTGGGAGATTGCTTAGAGCAGAATTGCTACCTACAGTAGTTATAATACTTCTTCAGCAGCATAGTTTAAACCAGATTATCAACTGCCAGATTGTGGGAACTGTGCCTAGCAGCAATATACTGAAACTGATTACAACTCAGCACGCACCTTTTCCTGTATTTGTTAGTCGGGGAATTGACATTCAGACTAAAGAAAAGATTAATTGAGTCTATTCTTAATGCTACATCATTTCAGTACTAGTTTGCTGCAACAACATCAAAGAAATCCTTTGTAATGTGGGTGATTTCCCATGTGTGAGGTTCTCGTTTACAAGAATATTGCTACTTTGTAGATGTTCTGAGGTAATATGTATCTTACTTTCCATCTTCTTGTGTTGGAATGTCTTGAACTTGGTTTTCTGAATCCAGTTTTTGGCAGCAAAGATTGTTTCTCAGCCTATATAAGATCCCTTTTGGAAGTGTTTTCTATTCTTAGTTTGTTGTGTGTCAGCATTAAAGGTATCTGTTTGACTACTGAGCACTATTGGACTGAATTTTATGCTTGTATGTGTATTTGCGAGTTACTAGATGTCTGGTGGTCTAGTATCCCAATATGACTGTTCTGAATGTTGCCAGAAAATCGTCTGGAATATAATGTTTTTCTTTATGGCATTTTTTTCCTCTGAGATGCAGGAAGATGATGGTAATATATGCTAAATTTTTTTAAGGTAGTATCGTTTTTGAAAAATGGGAAGGTATGTTTAAGGTACATGAAATTCATCTGGGAAAAGGATCAGTTCACAAAAACCAGTATCAAAATGTGCATAAGCAAGCAGTTGCAAGATTGTATTTCAAATTCAAGTGGAATAAGATGGCAGTTGTGGATGTGATTCCAAGTATCTTTAAAAAGTGTTCTATTGGTGTGTTTCTGTTACATATTGCACATCTTCAACGGAACACTGTTAGCAGTTTTGTGAAATTTATTTTCTAGGTGTCCAACTATGAAAAACAGATAATCAAATTACGGTCAGAATTTGAGAGAGGAGAGGCCATTCGACAAGGTCTGGAGTATGAATTGGCAGTTGCCAGAAAAGGTGCCCATCTGAAAATGTGTAGTGCAGAGGAAGAATTAAGTGATGCAAAAAACAAACTTGTGGAACTGCAAGGTAGGTTTCAAAGATGTAAAGATGGAATGAAAGCTAAGTCTGTTTCATGTCATTAAGGTAAGTCAGAAGCAGGGACTTAATTACATTTTCTAGTTTATTGCTGTTTTTCTTGAATTTGTCTTATCTTCCCATCTCTTATCCATCTGCTTTTGAAAACTCATGAGAGTTCACAAAGCTCTTACTGTCTCATGTGTGGATTAGAACTAACTGGCTAACCCTTCCAACCCTTCTTTCCTCTTTCCCATCACCTTCTGATATTTCTTCCTTCAGTGCTGTGCTGATAGAACTGTAATCATGGTGGCCATCTTCACATCCAGGTTATCCCTGTGTCCAGTAGTTCTTCCTTTTCCATTTCAGAGGGAAAAAAAAGGAAGAAAAAAGAATAGGAAAAATTAACTCCTGCTCATTTGTTTGCACTATTTCCAGCAGCTTTTTTCCAGAAGTTCTCATCATACGTGTATTTCCTTTCATGTTTTCAAATGTGTCAAGATTTTTATTGTTCATGTCTGGTTTATTTTCTTCTCATTGTTTTTGTTTCTTTTTTTTAATAGTAATGTGTGTTATGACAATAGTATGTGGAAGGTTTTTACGTAGACTTTTTATTTCTTGCTACTTTTCAGAAACTCAGATGTCCTTTATACTCCTCAAACAGAGAGATTTCTCATTCTTACAAGGAAATGAGGTGCATTTTTAGTTACCTAAACTACTCTATCTATTTCATCTAGTACAGGAGATGTATCTGTGAGTTTGATGAGCTGTTGATATTCAGTGAAGAGTTTGGAGTACTCCTTGAAGATTTTAACCTTCCAAGAACCAAAACAGTCTGGATCTTGCTAGTACTTAAAGTAACCAGTATTTTTAAGATGTTTGGAAAGCTGAACTTTCATTCCTTTGGAGAACACATGAATAATCAAAAATCTTAGGGATTGCAAGCACATGAAAAATCATGAATCTTAAGGATTGTAATCTGGAAAAAAGCTTTTTTTTCCCCTTTGGAAATTTCTCTGTGATTACAAATGGAAGATTTGAATTGCTAGTTTCTCACCTAGAGCAAATTCATGTTTCTTTTCATGTGTGCTGGTTTCCTTGCCAGTATAAGAGTCATGCCATGGAGGTACCAAGAGGCCTGTTTCAGGAGGGGCTGGATGAGGATGGAACCACAGCACAGTGAACCTACTCTGCTGGGCTCACTGTCACTTTTCTGAATGGACTGGACTGTGAGGCTGTGGTGAGGGGACTGGAGAACAAAAAGGGGATAGGAGAGGCTTTACAGAGGCAAGGGATGTCTTCTTAAATGCACATGTGTGTTAGTTTCTTTCAATACCATAGTCAATAATTTGCAGTCTGTCAATTGACAACAAATTCTATTGGCTAAAATTTCTCAAACTTTTTATGTCTGTGACAAGTGCCATAGAAACCAAATTATAACTCTGCTGCTTAATTTTTTAGCAATTAGCAATTTTCTGCTTCTTTTCCTTTGCCAGTTGGAGGCTTTCTCACTTCACAGTGTGCTTTGGTATGATCCCAGCATATCTTCTCAGGCAGAATCCTTCATTAGTGCCTTGTACCCTTCAGTGTTTGCTCCAGATTTTTTTCTGCTGTTCTTTTTCAGAGTTGATTTTCTGCCATTTGGCAGTCCTTTTCTGTCATTGTGTCCACTGATTCTCAGTGTCATCTTAATGTGCTCTCTTCATTTCATTCTCTTCTGACTAGGAAGAAATGTCAGAAAACTGGGATGGATTTGAAATAAAATCCTGTTGCAAAGTGGTGATGACTTAAGTGCCAATGCAGCTAGTTGTATTCAGTAAAATAAAAAGCTGTTGTAAAATATTTTCTCCTATAAAGGTTATGAAGGTTATGCTTACAGGTTATGAGATTTCCATAGCATTTAAGCTTTCACTGAAGTGTGTATACAATGTTCCCCATCTCAAGTCATTTATGGGCTGAAGATTTAGATGTCTTGAGGAGCAGTAACCGAACCTACCTTAGGTTTATCTACAGTCTCTTTCATGGAACAGGTGCCTATCTTTACTGTCATTTAAACTGAGCTCAAATTTAATTTATACAGACTAATACCTATATCAAAAATGAAATATTATTTCAGATTATTTGCGAGATTATTTGGAAATAATCTGGCAAAATATAGAAATCTGAAAATAAGTCTTCCATTCTATAAAGATGTAATTTCATGGAATCACAGAATATGCTGATTCACAAGGGATCTACAAAGAATTATCTCAGGTTTTTGTCCTTTTCTAAGAGAAAAAAGTGTTTTAATTTTTAAAATCTGTCAAATATTCCTATGTTCTTGTGGGAAAGATGTGATAGAACACAAAATTTGCTGGTTTCTTCTTAGAGAAGTTGGTGCTCTCCAGTGCTGGAGAGTTAATGTTGCAGTGTTCCACTGGGTATTAAAATACACAGAAGAACTGATGATCATTATGTGTTTGGGTTTTTTTTCTGGATATGTTTTGCCATGCTGCTTCTACCTTTTTTCTTTCTCTTTTTCTGTAAACAATAGTACTCAATGAAAACCTTCAGCAGAAAGTGACAGAGACTGAGGAAACATTTCATAATGCTCAACAGAAGTGGGAAGAAGAACAGCAGAGACTTGCGAAGGCAAAGGATGATATCAGCAGAATTTATAACAATGAATATGTATTCCTTCTTAAAGAAAGAAATGGAGTAGAAACTATTTTACTGGTATGGTGTATTAATAGTTGGAAAGTTGCATTAGATAATGGCTGGAACTTTTTTGGTGTGAAGTGTGTAGTGGATTGAGGTCTTTCTAATGTAGGAAAACATCCCCCAAGTAGCTAAATGCTGCACGGCATTTCTGAAGAACATAGCCTTATTAAGTTACACTTGGCATGTCACAATCTTTCTTGCTTTAAAGAAATGTGTTACGGCTGATTTTGATGGTAAACACCAAAATGAAGTTACCAGTGCACAGTCCATTTGCACCATCATGATATTTGATACTGAGTCAGTAAAATCAGGATGCCTAACACCCCCGATTCAGTTTCCCTGTTACTTCCCCCAGTATGACATCCAATGGCCTGTGAATATGAAAACCGTTTGTATAATATGAAGACCACATACTTTCAGGGAACCTGAACAGTGATGATGGGATTTCAAGCTGTGCATTGTATGTTATTCACTCCATACCACATAAGAAAAGTAAGCATTTATTGGAAGTTGGAAATTCTGCCTTTTGGTTAGATAAAAATCACCTAATAATAAGAGATGGCATTATAATCTGTTCTACAGTGTGGGATTTTGTTATTTAGTAATTAATTTCATCGTATTTCATGATTTATGCTGATATTTATATATGCTTTGGCTGTTAAATGTGTAAAAAGTAATAAAAGTACAAACTTAGTTTTACACCTTTTTTAGACAGTCAAGTGATTCAAAACTGAAATATGTTTAGAAGAAATCATGTAGCATTATGGTGTGGAAGTGCTGAGTGAACATACCTAACTTTTGTCTGCTTCACAGGGACACAAGCAATTACACCACTGTACTTCAATTAAACTTTTGTCTTTTTGAATTACAAGTTACATATGTTGTATCTTACCCATGTGAAAATACGACGTGATGAAAAACCAGAATGTATTCAGCTGTAGTTATTCTTCATAAAAAGAGGTGTATGCAGAGACTTTGTTAAGGCTGATAGACATTTGAATTTCATGATGTATGCAGAGAACAGATTGCTGCTGCAAGATTAACTTTTTAATATATTTCCTTCCTTTTAGTCCCTTCTAAGATGTGACAGACTTGTCTCAATTGGAATGGGCATTGCTCAAGCAGTAGAAAATTTTCTGGTTACTTTCTTTCCAGCTGGTCAGCTCCAAGCCTGGGACAGTACCAGTCTTCCTAAATGATGCTAAATTTACTTGGCAGCTTGATAGCCAAATTCTGACAGCAGACCTACCTGTTAGCATGCTGTTGCTCAGATTCTATATGGCATCTGTAGAAGCAGCTCGCAAAACAAAACAGGGCAGAGACACTCCCTGAATTACCTATATTTCAGAAGTACTGTATACTGATCCTTCAGCTGTTTGAAGGCAAGGTCTGGAAGGAGTGGTGCACTAATGACACCCAGGCAGTGTGTGGATGAATAGTGTTTCTATGCATGGACTGCAGAAGGAGTTGCATTGTGCTGTTTATCCTAATGATAAGAGATCTGATGGTAGAAAAGGACCCCACTGATTTGAATTTTCTCTGAATGAAGGAGAAAAAGGAAATTCCCTTATCCTCTCAATAATTTTGTCAGTATGTTGAACAGTACTTTGAGAGACTAATTGGGAGAACTGTAAAGGTATAGTTAAAAAAAAAAAGAAGAGAAAGAGAAGGTTTCAGAGTAGAATATGTGAACTCATTGACAGGTGATACCCTAAGATCCTTCTCAAACCAATAGAAACATGAATCAGTTTTCATTCAAAGTCAATGCTTGAAAAACTAAGGTTAGGTTTCGGCTATGAGGAAACTTACTCTTAGACACAGTTTTCTTATTAAGTTGCCGGGTAAAGCATGCTAAGAGTGGTGCTTTGGCTCTGTGTTCTGGCTAACAGTAGACTGACTTAAGTTGAGGAGCATTTGGAAGGGACTTTTCATCTCTTGTATATAGAGTTTAGAAATGTTTATTCAGTGCATTTAATACTGTATGAAAATAATGATGTTTTAAGAAGTATACTGTACTCTTAGAAGTGATGTTTATCCTCAGATGAAAAGGAACAGTGGGTTTCTCGGGTCATTGTATTCCTTGTCAATGTGTGTGGATTTGGAAGTGGAAGGTGATTTGTAGAAGCAGTGGTTTGGTTGGAAGATTGTACTAAAGCTATATAATTGTTCTCTCCTAAAGTATGTGATTCATTACTAGATGTCAACTACCAGTGTTGCTTTGAATAGCAAAATTTTTGGATTTAGTTCAATTGCAAATAGTTCCATTTTTCTGCTTTGTTTTTGTCGTGTTCCCTTGCCCATTACCCTAGTTATAGTTCCATATAGTTGTAAAATTCCTGGAAATAAAGCATACATACATGAATGTTAAATCTGGACTTGACTATCTTAGTTGTTGTTTGAAATCTTAACTGACTTAACTTGGCAGATAAATATCAGATGGGTCTAGGTTTGTAAACTAAAACTTCAAATGTGTTCCAGTCTTTAGTGTTGTGTATTTACAGTCCTGTTTTAAATAATTCGTAATTATTTTGAGTTATGAGATGAAAGCTACATAAAGTGGTCTTGATATGTATGAAGAAGTAAGATTCTAAACCTGGATGGCAAATCCTGGTTCTAAACCTGCACTTTGTGAACTACAAGTCTGAACTTAGCTATGAAAATGCTCAGGTAGGCGTAGAAATGAAGTCAATTTAATCTACTAAAATGTGTCTCTATGATGTGGACTTAAAGTAATCCTCTCTGCTTTCTAAGAGAGGAAGTTTTGTATTGTGCTATATTGAGTGTGTTTAGCCTTGTGTTTGGTACATGGAAAAGATGTTGGAGTTCAGTAGTAAGTGCAATAGCATCATCTTGTGGTGAGTCATAATATAGTATTCCTTCACAGAAGCACTCAGTTTTTCCTTGGACTGTTTGTGAAATTGTGTTGTTTATAAACACTCTAAACCAACCAACCAGCCATGTTTTTGATAAGGAGATATGTATAGAGAGTGTGTGAGTGACACCCAGATACACATGTATGTATATAGGTGTTTCTTTTTTCGCATGGTGAAGTAGGTTTCCTTCTGAACCTTCCAAGTGTAGGTGACTGCTGGAACAGGCTGATACAGTTACACTGTGTCTGATAAGTTCAGAGGCTTCAAGATTTTGAAGTCATGTTGACTTGTTTAACAAGCTTGATGTATTGTTGGTTTGTCAGTTTTTTGAAGTCTTGACATAGTTCTGTTAATATGTGGAAGATAAGTCTGAAGAGAAGTATTTCTATATTTTTCCAATATAGAGAAGATGATAGTTGTGAATTTGAGTAAAAGTATTTGGGTTTTTTGCATGCTGATGGGAAGAAACCTCTCCATTGTCTTGGTATTACAGGAAAAGTTAGAAGATTACCTTAAATTTATTCCATATCCAGGTAGATTGTTTTTGAAATATTTTGATTCTGTTTTTGAAATGTTTTGATTTAATGAGGTTCCTGTTTTTTAATTCACTTGTTTCACAAGCATTCTCCTTTTTATCTTTTCAGAGAATGTCAAAAAATCATACCATAGTGCCTCCACATGAAAAAAAGTGAAAATTAATTAATTTTTTCAGTTACTAGTCGGTGATAATGGAGTGGCACTAGGTGTAAATAAGGGAGTCATGAATCCCTTAGTGTCATATTTAAGAGGCCAAAACTTTCTACCTTCAGTCATGAAGAACTTCTAAAATTTGTTTTAAACTTTGGAAAAGACTCATATTTCTTTGATCTTCATGTATAAACATGGTTCTGTCAAATTTCAATCTTCCGAAGAATCATTCTTTATTAATAATTCATTTTCTTTTCCTTCTCCTCCCTGCTCTGCAGATGCCTTATGATTAGTAATTTTCAGGAACAAGACTATGTGATGTAAGAGTAATAGCAGAATTTGTAGACCAACTGGCTTATTTTCACAAAATGTCTCTTGCCATGATAAATGATAGGAATAAATGAACAGGAGGACTTACGATAATCTTTCTGTGTTTTGTACAGAAAGTAATTGGCTTTCAAAAGGTCTTCCAGCTAAGTCACTGGATTTGTAACTTGTTTCTGGTGCTAGTTATGGAAAAGCTTACTCCTGTCCACTAGACCAAAGCTATTCTTTTTCAAGGCCTCTGGAATGCCCAGCTTAAATATGCACTAGGCTACTGGGGGCTCATTATTTGGCTACTTAATTCCGTGTCTGGTGTAGTATAAATGAGGATTTTGTAATAGTGGCTCCACAGACCTGCTGAGTCCAATGGTGTTAGTAATTATACCAACCTGTATCTTGGTTCAACTTCCAAAAGCAGAAATTGGGGGGGGGGGGGGGGGGCAGCTTTGTTATTTTATCTTTCCAAGAAATTCATAGTTCATAGTAATTTTCAAAATTCATAGTAATTTTATAATTCAGTTTCTGAGAAAAGTCCTCAGAATAGTAGAAATTAAGAATATTTCTTCTATGGGAGTAACTTCCAACATATGTCTCATTACTTTATTTGAAGTTCTAACAGTTAGAATAACAACAGACTTCTAAATAAAATTTCTGTCATTTCATCAAATGCACTTAACTGTTTCCCTCTCCACCATTGCCATTGAGCTGCAAGAGAGAACAGATTTTAGGAGCAGCCTTGTACTTTAGAGAAAAATTTCCTGTGGAGAATTGGCTCTGATTTTAGTATTACTGCAGAAGGTCATGTTTGTAGTGAGTTGTGAGCCAACATATGTTATTTGGTGGTGAATGAAGAACGTCTGTTGTTGGGTAAATGCTTGACATGTGCGAATGTGTTAGATTTTATTAACCTGTTCTGATGCACTCTTTCCTGTTTTGATCCTTCTACTTTATTTTAGCAAAAGTAACTCTTAATACCTTATATCTTTTCTAGGAGCTGAATAATGAACTGCAAAATATACGCAAGAAATTAAAAAATGTGGAGGTGGAACACAGTGGCTGTAATGAGGTGCTGAAATGCCAGGCCAATGAACTTAAACGCAGCACTGAACGAGAGAAGAGACTTTTAAAAGAACTTGAAGTAAGGTTTTTTGACTATTGCTATTAGTCTCAACAAGCCCTGTCACTGAGCAATTTCATTTTTGAGGGATGAAACCTTCCAGTTAAGCTGGAATTCTGTGTACTTGATAAACAAAATATTGAACATCTGTTTTACAGAAATGGCTGAACAAGTGAATGCCACTTTTGTGATAGGAAAGGGCTTCTTTAAGTGTGAAAAAACGGCTAGCTTTACTTCAGGAAATCTGAAGTCTTAATTTGTCTATCTTCTTATATATTTTGGTTTAATGGATTTCTGGTGAAGAATCTACTGGACCTGCAAAAATTGTCAGATGATGTGCTAGGTGAGGGAGTAGGATATTGGAAGATCACAATGGTCTTACAGTAGCCTCCTCCTAGAGTTAGTTACTAGAGTTAGTTACTGCACATTTAGTTTTCCTTTCTGTTGAGTGACAACCATGGTTGAGAAGTCTCCAGTCTTTGGAGAATATTATCTTGTAAATGGGCTCTTTACACTAACCAGCTAGTTTCCTCCTAAGTTTCAATATTTTATTTGTCAACTGATAGGTTTTATAGTAGTTATGTTAAATGTTTGTACGGTCTGGACCAAGACTTTCTTCCTAGAATATTTGTTATTGCAGAAAATCATATTGAGTGGACAATTCTTTATCCTGATGTATGTTTTCTACCAAAGGCATCTTTAAATATTTTCTGCAATGAATTTAAAAGAACTGTCACTTCTTAAATGTTGAACCCTTAAAGGAACAAGTAACACAGTTTTCAGCTGTGTTTTTTCTTCTGTTGTTTTTCTCTTAAAGGTAAAAGAAATGTTTTAAGTGTTGATTTTTAGGTAGGTAGAGTCCTGCATTAAAGATTAAGCACAAAAGAAAATTCCTACAGGGAAGATCAAAGCTCATCAACTAAAAACACTGACTTATTGACCAACAAGGTAGACCTTTGTGCCCTCAAAGAATTCTACAGGAAATCTATTGTCATGTATTTTGAGCTGCACTTATTGGCCTAAGTGGAATTGCCTTCAGTTGGAATGTGTTGCATACTGTGAAGTTCCAATAGCCCTTTTAAAAAAGCATCAAGTTTTACTTCCCTGTACTTGAGTAAGGACTCTTCTTATGACCTCATGGCTTTTTGTATACTAACAGAAAAGTCATGAGCTTAAAGGAGGAGGAGAAAGGCAGCAAATTATTTATCTTTTTAAATACTTTGATTGAACTATACCCTAATGATGGCCTTATTAGGGAAATGCTACCCTCTAACCATAATCAGAAAAAATATTTTTTTTATTTTCGCTTCTAAATTTTGTATTACTATTTTAACTTTCTGAATATCTTAATAATGTAAGAAGACATATTCAGTCAGCAGAAAAATGAGTCTTCTGTTACTTATTGATAAGGATAGCTATTTAAGCAGTGATCAAGGGAAAGTATATGATGAAACCTCTTGCATTTAAAAGTTAAAGAAAATTAGCACAAGTCTTTGAATCAAAAAAAACCCAAAATAGGTTAGACTTCAATACATATCCTGTTGGCAGCTTGCATCTCACTCTACCATCTTAGAAGTAAATTACATATATGTAATTATCTGAAAGGGCCTACAGTAACCTTGTAGATGGTGATTCTACCACTTTCCTCAGCAGCCTCCTCCTATGCTTTGCAACCCTTGCCATAAGGAATTTTTTCCTCGTATCCAATCTAAACTTCTACTGGTACAAGTTGAGGCCATTTCCTCTCATTCTGTCACTTGTTACTTGTGAAAAGAGACTGACTCCCACCTGGCTACAGCCTCCTTTCAGGCAGTTGTAGAGAGTGATAAGGTCACCCCTGAGCCTCCTTTTCTACAGGCTAAACAACCCCAGCTCTGTCAGTCACTCCTCATAGGACTTGTGTTGTAGACCCTTCACCAGGGTTGTTGCCCTGCTTTGCACATGCTCCAGCACCCAGTGCTGAGCCCCTGGCGAGTCTCACTGGTGCCAGCTGGATGTAACTCCATTCCCACCAGTCTCTGGGCCTGGCCATCCACCCTGCTCTTTACCTGGCAAACAGTGGTCCCGTTCACACCATAAGCAGCAAGTTTCTCCAGGAGTATGCTTTGGGAAATGGTGTCAAAGCCTTTCTTAAAGACTAGATGTATAAAATGTACAGCTTCCTTCCTCCACTAAGTGAATCATGATATCAGTAGCCAAGCTGAATTTCCATTCAGATATAGAAGTCTTAAAGTAGTACGCCCCAGACAGAATGGTCTACATTTTTTTCATGAAGTAGATCTGTATTTTTTAAATCTCTCTTAATAGAATTTTTAGCTTATAGATTGAAGTTGGTAGATATAGGATACATATCTTCACTTTCCATGCTGAGTAGCTCATGTTAATGATGATTTGGTTAGCAAATATGCACTTAAGTTCTTGATTACAAGAAGAAACTTCTTAAGGTGATTGTGTGAGGAGTAGTGTACTTCTACTTAAACCCCAATCTTAAAATATTTTATTATATGCTTCTTTTTGAAAAGCAGTGGAGATGAACATTTTCTGGAATTCACAAATCTGTTCTTTTGCTACCCTCTGCTGGACATGAGGGAGAAATCCATGGGAAAATACTTGTATTTTGGTAATGGAAGGAAATGTTAAATTTAAATTTTCTTTTTTTTAGTACAATGACACTTGTAGGAAGAATTATATCTAACAGACTGTTATAAAGAAAGGAATGTGCAAAAAGCCTGCCTGCCCCCAATTTTGGTGGCTTTTTTTTCATTCCTTTTTTTCTTAAAATATTAGTTTGGTTTTATCCTTCAGTGATTACTCTGATCGTGGTCAAAAAGAGGTATTCCTGGTTTCCAGCGTTAGAAATTAAGAGAAAGAATAATGGCAAGTTTCTGTGGACTTTTCTGTTGAAAGAGAACTGTTGCTACACTATCTAACCTACTAGCTTTCCAGTTTGCAGTGATACCAATGTGCTGCACAGATTGATTTGGAGTGCTTCTGAAGTAGAAAACACACTGTGCCAGAAAAATTGAGATTGAGAACCTCAGATATCATTCTGCCTCTTTAGCCTGAGAATTCAGTAGCCAGTTAAATTAATGATCTATTTCTATTGAACTCATCAAGATAATACTATTTATGATTATCAATTTTCCAGAACCAGTGTCTTTTATTTTAACCTTTAGCTCAATTGCCTATAAGGATTCTTGGGAAATACTTGAAAAAGACAAGAAAATTTGTCATATAAAATTAATGTTTCTTATGATGTATTCAGCCAAAAAGATGGGTGGGAAATGGTTTTGCAATGAGAATATGGACTTTACCACAAGAAACAAAATTATTAGTTTACACATTTCAAACTCTTTGCCTTGTTCCTATAAATGTAATGATTTTCTGTTATTTTTTAATGTGTTTGAGGCTGTCAACTCTGAACAAGCTGAAGCTCAAGGTCTCTCAAATTTTTAAGTCTTTCTTATGAGGCTTGAAAAATGTTCCATAACTTGGTCTATTTAATTTCTGAGACTGAGTGTATTGTCATATTTCTGAGATTTCTAATTTTCATTTAAAGACTATTCCCATAGCTTTCACATTGCCTTTTTTACTTCCCTTGCCTTCACTATGTATATTGACATGCGGTGCTAAACATGTATGCTTGTATTAGCTTGGTAATGCTGCTATGATGCAAAGAGGACTTGGGGAATGGTTAATATCTGTGTTTGTTTGAAATATATGTATGTGCAATACTTGAAGGCTGTGGGCTTATTTCTCACTCTCTCTGTGTTAGTGAAATATGAAATTTAGATCGCAGCCAAAACCAGCTTACCCCTCCTTAATCTTCTGCTTTCTAGAGTGTCCACAATGCATAACTGTCATCCAGAAATTCTAGGTGCTGTGACTGTCATATATTTGTTGCTACATGCTTAATATGTAGTATACTTATGTGTGTGTATATATATATATATATGTTTTATTTTATGTATATATTCAAAGAGATATACTTTCTCTAGATAAAAATATATAGTACCATATACTTAGTGGATTGTAAGCATCACAGATTTTGTAATTGGAACTCTCTGGGCTCTCCAAAGTTATATTTCTTGTGTGACAATCTCACTGACATAATGATTTATGCAAAACATTTGACAGTGTCCCATACTTCTTTGTCTCGTACAACATCCTTATCTCTAATATGGTGAGACATGGATTTGATGACTGCAACACTTGGTACATAAGGAATTGGCTGGATAACTCTCAAAGAGTTGTGGTTGATGGCTTGATATCCAAGTGGAAAGCAGTCATCAGTCAGGGATTGGTATTGGAACCAGTGCTTTTTAACATCTTTGTCAGCGATATGGACAGTGGGATCAAGTGCACCCACAGCAAGTTTGCTGACAACATCGAGCTGTGTGGGGCACTTTACACACTGGAAGGCAGGGGTGCCATTCAGGGAGTCCTTGACTGGCTTGAGAGATGGATCTCTGCAAACCTCTTGAAGTTCGGCAAGGCCAAGTATAGGGTCCTGCACCTGCCCCAGGGAAATCCCGAGTACACATACAGACTGAACAGAGAATAGAGTGAGAGTCCTGTGGGGAGAGACCTGGGGAATTCTGGTGGGGGTGAGAGGCTGGTCAGGACCCAGCAATGTGTACTTGCAGCCCAGAGACATCTGCATTCTGGGTTGCATCCAAAGCAGCGTGGCCAGCAGGGTCAGGGAAGGGATTCTGCCCCTCTGCTCTGCTCTGGAGAGACCCCACCTGCAGGGCTGCATCCAGCACTAGGGTCCCAATGTAAGAGGCACATAGACCTGTTAGAGTGAGTCCATAGGAGGGAGAGCCACAAAGATGGTTAGGGGACTGGAGGGCCGGTCCTGTAAAGACTTACTGAGAGAGTTGGGACTGTTCAGCCTGGAGGAGAGGAGAGAAGGCTCTGGGCACAACATATGGCAGCCTGCCAGTACCAAAAGGAGCCAAAAGCTAGAGAAAGACCTTTTACAAGGTTATGTAGTGATAGAACAAGGAGGAATGGCTTTAAACTGAGAGTAGGTTTAGATTAGCTATTGTGAAGAATTCCGCTACTATGAGGGTGATGACGCACTGGAACTGGTTGCCTGTAGACATTATAAATGCCCCATCCCTGGCAGGGTTCAAGACCAGGTTGGATGGGGCTTTGAGTGAGATGGCAGTGGAAGATGATCTTTAGTGTTCTTTTGCACACAAACTAGTTTATGATTCTATGCTAATGGACTTCATCTCAGAGAGGAGCTTCTTCATAATCTTCTGTGTCATTATATTAATGAAGTCCAGTTTGGAGACTGCTTAGTCTTATCTTACTTTCAGATCAAACTTGTTTCAACAGTGTTTTATGTAGCTCTCGTGAGGAGTTAGAACAAGTCACATAAGTCTTTTGTCTATGTGCTTGTATAGAGTAACAGTGTTATTTCATGTAAATGTCTGTACTTAATCTACTGGGCATGGAAGTGCATTTCAGATAGCTTCTCCAGCTGCAACTCCGTAGCAGATCAGAATGGACTTGGACTTTATCCAAAGGCAGCCAAACTGTGTCATTTAGTTGTCCTAGTTGTTTTTACCCTTTCTTTAACCTGAAGTCAAGCACATGGCTTATCTTGTACCTCCCATACCAGTGTAATGTTTATCCAGTGTCATGCAAGTCAAGCATGCCTACTCTGTCACACATATTTCTCTAGACTTTAAGTACAGGAAATATGTACTTAATAAGTGAGGATTATCCACATTATCAGGCTGAAAGAACATTTACTTCAGTGGTTAAGAATTGTTAGTATTTAAGTAACTTCATAGTTACTAAAGGTTGTTTATTTTCTGAACAGGAGATGGCTCCACCTTACCATGATCAAGCGGTATCAGTGTTTCTAACGCTAGGTGGAAGTGGTCAGCACATCTCCCATAGAAGTATTTAGACCCCCTGGTTTGAGCTTTGAGCTGTAGGGAAATGCTTTTAAGTAGGAAAAAGATCTGAGTCTGAATATGGAAACACATAAACAGAATGGTTGAATGGTGATCCAAGTATGAGGTATATGTGTGTCCTCTTCACTTAAAAATGTCTTGGCTGACCATTTCCCATAGTGATTGAACCTAAACCTTCTGTAAGTGTAAGTATCCTGATAAATAAATCTTGCAGAGGGGTTTAAAAAGAAGCAGAAAAGAGAAAAATTATTTCCATTACTGCATCTAAGCTTAGTAAGTGTTGCAAGTGTATCTTTGTCTATCCCCCTCCCACTCCCCCACTGTTTGCTTAAAAGGGTATTTTTTGTAAATGTGGATGTCTAACAGCAAATGTGTTGAATAAGGTGTCATGTAGGATACTAAATCAAGGCTTTCAGTTTGGGGTACACCAATACTCACAAATATTGCAGCACTTCAAGCAAGTGTGAGGGACAAAAAAGTGGAAGCCACAAAGGACAGTTTGGAAAATGGTGTTGCAAACTGTAAGCTTAAAGAAAATGTCTCCACATTAGCATTGATGTGTCACACATATGTGACACCGAAAAAAGTGACTGAACCTCAAGAGATTTAACATGAAGCATGTTCTTTGCCGACAAGTTTGAATGCTGGCATTGAATTTTTCTTAGTCACTTTTTTTTCTCCAAAGTCAAAATTCTCTCTGTGCTATCATGGAAACCAATCCCAGCTTTGTTCTTTGTGGTAGATCAGTAATGCAGTCATAGACTCTCACAATTAACAGACAAATATAATGTATATAGGTTAAGAAAAGTTTTACAGATTTATAGTCACTATGGCAAACAGCTGACCTCTAATCAGGATTTGAGGAAGTAAACTCCACCACTGGACAGCAAAGAAGGAGTCAGCGGACAGAATTTTGGGAGAGGCAAAAGGGTTAAAAGGTGAAACCGTCATTGTGTTGGCAAGCACATGTTGGGAAAAATCCTTTGCTTCCGGCACCATAATATTTTCTCTATTCGGTCTTGTGTTGTATTTTTGATAAGGTTTAGTAAACTTCTCTAAATTTATGAAAAGTGTGTAACTATTTCTTATGTTCTTTAAATTAAGGCTGAAATCAATCAGCTTGAATATCTAAGGAAACTTCAGAAATTCCGTGAGTTTGTGGCTGCTATCTTAAGTAAGATGTCTGCCTTCATATATCTTGTTAGGTGCACATGAAAGTAACAAGTGACTGAATGTTTTTCAATAACCAATGTTTTCTTTGTTGGATGAGCAAGCACTTTGTAATCAGTCGAGAACTCACTTTGTGGTCCATCTTTGAGATGGATTTGGTCCTGACAAGAATCTTTCCATGTTAAACCAGTATGTATTCCCATTTGAATCCCAGACAAGCCTATGATCTGGATATCTGTTGCCTGCAAGTTTATTCTAGATGGTTTTCACACAGCTTCTTTTTTGTAAGGCATTGTGTAAAATTTTCAGACATGTGATTCAGTAAGGATACTGATTCTCACCTTTAATGTGATTCAAAGAAGTTTGCCTGTCTAATGGGTTTCTGATGTCAGTGACCTTCTGTTTGTCAGACAGGAAAACAAAACTCCTTCCCGTTTCTCTTTTTGGAACTTTTATCATGGTTTTACAGGTTAGCCTCACCCCTGACATTTTTCTTCTACTCACAGAATGTGTAATAGATTCTTCTCACTTGTGGAGTATGCAGCTTCTCACTGTGAAGGGAAGTGCATATAGGTATCAGCAGAGCCTGTTTGAACCTTTATCAGCAAAATAGAATAGATTTTCTATATGGCATTTTGTTGCAGCTGTGTTCTTCCCAACTGAGTCTTCAGACACAGCTTTGAATACAGGTGCAAGTTCTGTGGCTAATGTGCAGTTTGATAGACTGAAATACCAAGATTCTTTTCCTTAGAGCAAATCTGAATTTCTTTCTATTAATAATTCTGTATTGATTAGCCATGCTTAAGCAGTAGTGTCTGGTTTAATGTCTTTCATGAAGTATGGGGTTTTTTTCTGACTAATTTCTCAATTGTTTGCTGGCATCTGATTTGGTTTAAATTTGCTAGGGCTATGGTGAGCCATAAGCTTTAGAAAGGTAGTCATAGAGCAGAGGAAAAAGAATATTCAGCTGATGTTTGGAAGACTATAAAGGGTCTTAATCCAGCTATTTGTGGCAATCACAGTCACAGAATGGGTACGGTGGGAAGCGACCACGGGGGGGTCGTCTGGTCCAACCTCCCTGTTCAACCAGGATCATCCTAGAGCACATGGCACAAGTTTGTGTCCAGACAGTTCTTGAATGTCTTCAGTGAGGGAGACTCCACAATCTCTCTGTTCAATCTGCTCCAGTGCTTGGTCATTGCACAGTAAAAAATTCTTCCTCATGTTCAGGTGGAGCTTCCTGTGTGTCAGTTTGTGCCCATTGCTTTTTGTCCTGTCCCTTGGCAGTGCTGAGCAGAGCCTGGACCCATCCACTGACACTTTCCCTTCAGATACTCACAGACACTGATGAGGTCCCCTCTCAGCCATCTCTGCTTGAGGCTGAGCAGGCCCAGCTCCCTCAGCCTTTCCTCCCAGGAGAGATGTTCCTGTCCCCCGATCATCTTTGTCACCTCCACTGGACCAGCTCCAGCAGCTCTGTGTCTCTCTGGTTCTGAGGAGCCAGAACTGGACACAGCGCTCCAGTTGTGCCTCACCAGGGCTGAGTAGAGGGGCAGGATCACCTCCCTGACCTGCTGGCACTGCTCTCCCCAATGCACCCCAGGACACCATTGCCCTTCCTGGCCACCAGGACACACTGCTGGCTCATGGATAGCTTGCTGTCCACCAGGAACCCCAGGCCCTTCTCCTCAGAGCTGCTTCCCAGCAGATCAGCTCCCAGCCTGGGCTGGTGCCCGGGGTTCTTCCTCCCCAGGTGCAGGACCCTGCATTTGCCTTTGCTGAATTTCAGGCAGTTCTTCTGTGCCCCTCTCTCCACCCTCTGAAGGGCAGCAGGGCCCTCTGGGGTATCGGCCGCTGCTTCCAGCTCTGTGTCATCAGTGAACCCTCTGAGGGGGCACCTGCCCCTTCACCCAAGGCACTGATGGGGAAGTTAAACAATAACAGGCCCACTCTTGAATCTGGGGGCTCCACTTGTGACAGGCCTCCAACCAGATCCTGTGCCACTCATAGCAACCCTCTGGGATCTGACATTCAGACAGTTCTCAGTTCACCTGTCAGTTCACCTTCATCCAGGCCCACTTCCTAGTTCGTCCACAGGATGTTGAAGACAGTGTAGAAAGCCCTGCTGAAGTCCAGGTAAACAGTACCCATTACTCTTCCCTCATCCATCCAGGTAGTTGTCCCATTATAGAAGGCGATCAGATTGCCTAAGCATGATTTCCCTTTGGTGAATCCATGCTGGCTTCTCTGATCACTTTCTTGTTCTCCATGTTGATAGGGATGGTGTCCAGAAGGAGGCACTCCATCACTTTTCCAGGGATTGAGGTGAGGCCTGACTGGCCAGTAGTTCCCCGGGTCCTTCTTACCCTTTTTGAAGACATTCTTAATTAAGAGAATAATCTTAGCAGTATGAAAATATAGTAGCAGTGTTCGTGATTTTTTAAAATTAAGTATGTTAAGCAGATAAATTTTTGAAGAATCTTCTCTGTCCCGTGTGTCATTTATGAAATTGTAGATGTTCTATTGATACCTCAATGTATTTCAGGACATACAGAGTTATGTTGCCACAAGTGAGCAAATAATGGGGCAATAGGAAGAATATTTAACTTGGTTTATTTGCTTTCTGACCCTAGCTGATTATAGAAAATGCAGCACTAACATAATACTACATCAATTTACTAAACTAAATAGAAAATATTAATTTAATAATCCATATATGTAAAAAATGTTGTTATATGTGTTTCTTGCTATGAATTGTCACAGTTCCAAAGAAATTCAGACATATCAGGTTGAAGTACGGAGTCACAATATGCTTAATGAGTTGAATAAACCTGGTGTCATATTATCTTCTCTCTGAACTTAAATATCCTCAAAATGTACTTCTAGGCAGCTGCAGTGAAAGCAAAGAAACTGGAAGAAGACATTGAAGCAGAGAGAGCAGCACATTTAGCATCCAATTTCACTTCAGAGATAATCCAGGTAAACTTTTTGTTAAATATTTCATAGAAGTTTATAGTAAAACAGTTGAGGAAGTTGTGAAATAACTAATATCCAAAAATATGAAGAGCACTTGCTCCAGTGAAAAACCTAACTAGATTTATTACAATAAGTGTCAAAATAATTTTATATATATATGTATATGTGTGTATATATATATATATATACACACATATACATATAATATATATATAATGGGGACAGAATAGAAGAGTATCTGCTTTCTTTTCAGGGAACTTTGAAGTTATTAGAATAAATAATAAAATAAGATGTCATATTTGTAATTTTGAGAATTCCCACCAGTATTTAAACAGTTAGGGAAAAGGAAATGTTTAATAATAATTAAGCACTATACTACTGTTTAAATATGCTGCCCTGTATCTTCTGAATGGCTTCTTAGAGCAATTTGGAGACACAGTGCATGCATCCAACTTACCTAGGAGTGAGAGCATAATGCATCCTGAAACTGCTGTTTTAAACACAGTTTCTCAGAGTACATTCCAGCTCCAAAATTATCATACTTGCAGTTACCAGTAAAGTTTGATTATATGAATAAATCTAATGTATATACTTGAACTACTTGAACATTAATTTTTTTTCTATCTGTATCACACAGAGTTATATTCAATAAAAAAGTATGGTTTAGTAAAAAAAAAGTTTGAAAAAAAACTACATGGTGATTTCTTAGTAATATCATAATAATTAACAAACTTAGTGGACTTCTGAAAAACTAAGCAAAAAAGAGGGGAATTTGGTATCTTTTCCTCCCTATTTTCTGAATAACAAAAATAAGCATTGCCATTCTTCAGTCAGACTTATTTTCTTATTTTCATGATCTTCTGTATGTACAGGCTGTTAAATTTTAAAAGTGATAATTTAACTAGAAAAGATTTCGTTTGCTTAATTTCCTTGATATTTCTGCAACATACAAAGGAACTGAGAGGATAACATTCCTTAAACTTAGAGGCTTGGTTTTTATGGATGAATAACTGATAAAGTCTTTTTCCGTGTTTATGTACATGAACAAGCTAGAAGTATGCTTTGTTCTGAGAGAAAGTATGGCCTTTATTGCTGGTCCCACTCTTCATGAGTCTATTTAAAAACTAGAATTTCCCTGGAAAGCTTCAGTATTAATAAGAACTGAAAATGTTCAGACACCTCCAAATGAGAACAGGACGTACTTTTCATTGTCATATCTATTTGGCTCCAGTTTGAGTTTTATGTATGCTTACATTTTTGCATGTGTTCAATGATTTTTACATGTGTATATGCTTTGATACTGAATTATTACAATATATTCTACTGTAAAGCAGAACAGACCATAGAAGGTCATGTAAGTGTTTCCTAACTTGCTTTAATTGCTTTTTTATCCCTTGGTGTAGTTAAGAATTCGAGAACTTGAAGAAGCTGTGCGTGTGGAAAAGGACAGACGAGAAGAAGCTCTTTCAGATTTAGAAATGATGAAGAAAGAGTTCAAAGGGTTAGAATATGCATATGAGAGAGAAAAACAAAATGCCCAGGCGAACTTGGAAAAACTCAATATGTAAGTTTCCATCTAAATTCATTGTAAAATGGCAGTAGACAGCTGGATTACCACTTACAGCTTACATTTATATACTTTTCAGTCAGTATAAAACAATTAAATCTGATGCAATTTCCCAAACCAACCTGTAGTTCAGAACCTGGTGTTCCATTAATAACATTAATATCATGTCCATATCAGTAACCATATGGGTGGGTAAAGAAAATAACTGATCTGTTACCAATTAATTGCCAAAGCAAAAATGTTGGAAATTATAGTAATGGCAGGGTCCTGTCTCCTGTATACTTGGGAGGAGTGTAGGAAAGCACACATGGCAGGGGTAGAACAGATTTTTTGCTTCTGTATATACTTACATTATTTTGAAAATATTATTTTTCACTGCAGTGAGCTAGATCAATCTTTAAGACTCCTGTTGAAAAGTTGTGTATCATTTATAGTGGTGGATCTTAATTTTCAGCTTTTGAATGATTGTGGAAAGTGTTGACTAGCTAATGAAAATAGAAGAGTGGATGAAGTGTATGAGAGCAGATGAAATTACCTGGGATTCATTTCCTGCTCAGCACAGTATACTGTATCTGTGGTAACAGATCTTTTTTGGAAGAAAGATTTTGCTCTATTTCCTGGGCAGATATAGGATACACTGTACTGAGTCTTGTTCCTTAGCTGAATAAAGTTGTTATTGGGGTGAGAAAATATCAGGAAGAAGAGTAGTGCTGGAAGACAGAGAACTTGAAGTTCATGAAATAACTTGGAGGACATGAAATAAAGGATAGTAGTTTGTGAAATTTAGGGAAAGAGGGGCTTTAGAAGACATGAAGCGGGTGGCACACAGTGAGGTTGTGGGGAGAGAGAGGTAGTTGAAAAAGACAGTTTTCATCTCTTAGTTTAGGATTATGGGGGTCTGTACATAAAAGTATTTGTGTACCGACTTGCTCATACACGCAGTAGAGAAAAAAAGAAAATACTAAAAAGGGAAAAAAAGAAACTAGTTTCCGTACAAAAAAGGACTTTTGTGGCCTAAGTGTTCCTATATTTATGCTTGCAGAGATGTTTTTAGTTTCAAACAGAGTTGAAACTTGTGCTTTATTATAAACAACTTAGAGCTCTTTGTTTAAAAACAGTTCAAAAGAGGCACATTTAGGTAAACCAGAGTCACATTAAAAAGTGAAAACTTTTTTCTCAAAGAAAAAGATATAACTTTGATGATAAAAATTTGTGAAAAACATTATGATAGTAATTTAAAATTATTCTTCAGGAAGACTGCAGTCTTCACAGCTGTGAAACTGAGTAAGTATATTTCAAGATGCTCTACTGTTCTAAAATGACATCAGCTAATTAAAGTGTAATCTCATCCTGCCTGGTTGTTTTTGCTGTGAGCATTTTTGCTCTGTCAGTAAATACATGACACTAAACTGATACAAAGTTCTTTGCCTTTCTGTGAAATGGAGAAGGCCTGAACCATTGATTTGACATTTAATTCCCTTTTTATCGTTTTGCTTTAAAAAACTTCTTTGTTTGCAAACCAGCCTTTTTTTGAGGAATGGTTGTTGGACCAGTAGTTTTGCAGAACACAAGTTCTTGTATGTAACCTTTTATTCTTACAGAGCATATGGACTATGGTTCTTTTTTTTTCCAATCTTGGTTTGGTTTTCTTAGTTTTTAATTTGGTGTAGTGGGTTTTTTATTTTTGCTCTGGTTGGTTCCCATTAGTGGTCCAGAAGTTATGGAAAAATTAATGTTACGAAAGTTTTCTTGAAGTAGTGTTGAAACACTTGCAGTGTTTGTTCTTGAACCATTTATTCACTTGTCCCAAGACCTAATATTCCAAAGTTTGTCTTTGTATTGATGTTAGACCAGAAGAATTAATCATCCTTGATGAAATGTGGGGCTTTATAGTTTGGTTTTTTGAGTAATGCTTGTTAAGCCATTGCAGTTTTCGGTCTAGAAAAAAACTATCCTGTCTTGTCAACATGCCTGCCATAACGTGGCTTCCTGTAATGAGTCAGGGAGCTTTTATTATGGATGTGTACTGGGAACCAATAGATGTTAATAAAATATTAGCTAATTAGCGGCATTTTTAATGTAACTTAAACATCTGTTTAGGTATTTTCCAAATCATTATAATTTCACAAGTTTTACTACAAGATCTGTTTTTAAATTTTTGGATTAGTAAATTTGGTTAAAAACATGAACTTCTGTAAGTAGTAGTTTTCCAGTTAAATCTCTAAGAATCTCTTAAAGATATTTTTCTTAATTAGATTATTTGGACCAACATAACAATAATGGTTAGGTGTTGAATTGTATTGTGCATTCAGTAATGTTTTGTTCCTTGTGAGAATATTGCCTCTAGATGTATGAAGATATTTCTTTGAGCATTGAAGGGATTTGAGTTTAGGGTATTTTTGATCCACAAAAGTTACATCTTTGAAAAATGTTATCATCAAAAAATAAAAATAAGGGTTTTTTTAGAGAGTATATTTCTTTGTTTGGAATTACTGTATAGCAAATACTTATATTTTTGCACTTAAGACTATGAAATACAGTTTTACAGATGTGGTACCATTTGCCTTAAGAATTTCGATAGTAGTGCTTACAGAGAAGTAAATTGAGTTGCTAAAGTGCAAGATGAACCTTAAGAAGCCTTCCCTTTTTGCTCTGAACTGGACAATTATGTTCAGTGTTTCTTTTTCAGGAGGGAAATTTGCCCTATCCTTGGCATTTTTTGGGGATAAAACAGAATTTATGCCTGAGGCCTCTGTTCTGTGTGTTAATTGAATATGAGAATAAATGTTGTCTAATATCCAAAAAGTAGTTTTCGCTGCTTGCAATCATGTGTTGATTCAGGCAGTTACTTCTAGCAGCTTCTGCTAGCTGAGTTTTTTGAAAGCAAATTGTGTTCTGTGATTTCAGAGAATGCACACCTTTCCATGAAAATTAAGACAGTTAAAACACAGGTAAAATAGTTGTTGGTTTTGTTAAGAGATGTTGAAAAACCATGAACAGCCTATCCTCACAATTTTGTTAGTCCAGACATCAAAATTTCCAGACGTCTATTAAGATAAGTAGCGAAGGTCAAGCTTTTTCTGCAGTGGACATCAGTCTACTCAGTTCCCTTGAGGTAATTACATGGGGTGAGCCGGTACTGCCTCATCTGTTTCCTGTCCCCTTTTTATTCTTTGAAGCATACAAGTGTCAGTAACATTGCTGAAAATCAGTGATTGCTTTCACCGGACACCTTCTGAGAGAATACAACAGCCTTTGATCTACTTACCTTTGAAGGGTCTGGTCTTCGGACTGCAGACAATGTCAGGAGCTTGGCTTTTTTTTTTAAGACATAGTTTGGCATCCAAACATATTTTCTCTTTTTCTGGAGGACTTGCATGAGTTTCTCTTTAAGCCTTAGCCAAATGAAGGTCTTAGAGACTTTCATTTGTTGTGCTAGAACACTTGTATGTGTCTTTAGCTGGACTTGATGTAGGTAAATAATGCAAAAGTTGGAAGCTATAAAATGCTGTAAGAATTTGTTTTCTCAGAAAAAAAAAGTAGCTATAATAACTGAAACCAAGCAAATGGGCTTTTCTGGATGGCATAATTTTTTATTTTCTTAGAAAAATATAGTTGTAATAACCAAAACCAAGCTAACAGGCTTTTCTGGGTTGCATAATTTATTAATTAGCTCTGAACCCAGTAGCACTATGTAAATTGGAAGCAACATGGGATTTTGGTCTCTGTGTGGATTTACTTTTCTTGAAGAGCGAGAACATGACATGGAATAATTTGGAACTGCTTTTGCTGTGTTTCCGAAAGCTGTGAGAGTAGAAGCTACTTTGGGGGACTGAAATAGGCAGATTTTGAAGAATAAGAAGTAAACATCTGCAGCTACAGCAAAAAATCAGCCAGGCTGATGCAGAAGCACATAGGTATTTGGTGGACTGCTGAAGCAGTCCTTCAGCTAAAAAGATACATTAATCATTAACAAATAAATTAAAGTCAGAAAGTGACAATATTGATTCAAAAGCTTCAAAAATGCTTTCAAAAAGAGCTTTCAGCCCTTTGCACTGCTTTCAGTTCTTGGGAGACAGGACTGCTAGGAGAAAAAGAGATGATGTTTCCACTGGATGTTTCTACTGTTGAGAGCTACATCAAATAATAGTTCAGGTTGAAAGGAATTGCTGGTGATCCATAATCCGACCTGCTGCTCAAACTATATGTAAGCTGTGAGATCAGGTTCTTCAGTTAGGCCGTGAAAACATGGAGAATGGAGATGGCACAATCTCTCTGGGAGCCTTTTCCATACAGTTGGAAAACATATCTCCTTGTTTGAACCTCTCTGGATTCAGTACTTGTCTTTTAGACAAGCACTGCTGTGAAGTGATCATCTGCGTTTCCTTGCTAACCTCCTTTTAGATACTGGGAGTATCTGTTGTACACTGTGGAGTTATCTCTCCTCCAGCTTGAATATACCAAGTTTCCTCAGTTCTTATGTGTATTTCTGCTGCTGACCATGATGGTGACCATTCCCTTAGCCCACCCCAACTTTTTTCCTATGTTGGAAGGGGTGCATGTAGTTAAAAGTAATCATTATCCTAGATGTGTGAAAATGACTGCCAAATACAAGGTGATTAATCACTTCCCTTGATCTGACTATGCTGCTATTAATACAGCCCATGATGCTGTTAGCTATCTCTGCTCCTGTGCTGTGCTGCTGATTAGTGGCTGTTGGTCATGGTTACCAGGTTCTTGTTAGCATACGTTCTATCCAGCCAATTACAACTACACCACTTTAGGGTGGCCTTCTTTCCTAAATTTTGGTCTTTGCACATGTCATTGTTGAATGTCAGAAGGTTAATTCTGGCCAGTTCTTTCTCCATGACTAGAGAATGGCAGCACTTCAGTTGAGTGTATCCATTGTACTGTGTCGTGATCTACCCACACCCAGTTCACTGTTCACTGCAGGTATTGTGAGACTGCACTCTTGGCTTACTCCCGGTAGAGGTTGAAGCTGTTAAACAGGTCTTAGACAGACCTCTACAGTATTACAGCCATTCCAGCTACTACCATCTGGGCTTTTTCCCAATCACCTTTGTCTCTTTCATGAGCCCAGAAAATTTTCCTAGAAGGAATTGCTTTGTAACCTTTCATGACTGAAATGAAGCTCAGTGGTTTATAGTTCCTTGGCTTCTCCTTTTTACTTTTGCCAAATATAAGTGTGACATTTGCCTTTCTTCATTTGCCAGGGACCTCCCCCAATCTTTGTGACCTTTCATGATGATAATGAGCAATGTCATTCTGAGTTTAGCCAGCTTTATCAAAATCTTTGAATGTAGGTGAGCTGACCTCTACAATTCTATGGGTTGAGTTCTCACAGGTTATCTCAGACATAATACTCACCTATTGCTACCAATTGTTTTCCTTTTAGTGTCCTTTTACTGACAGTAGAGTCTTGGGAATAGACCATGTCATGGAAAATGGAGGACAAAAAGGCAGGGAGTGTGCTGACTTTCTCTCTCTGCTGTTGGTAAAATTGCTGCTTTGTGTAGAAGTCTGTTCATGTTTTCTTTCCTACCATAACAGTGGTAAAATCCCTTCTCATATTTGTCATCTTTTGTGAATTTTAATTCTAGGTGCCTTTTCTGAGGCACCTTCTTTCCATCCCTATGTACTTAGGCAATCCTTCAAAATTTTTCCTTGGCTTCCTCTCCCTGGCTCTGTCTCCTATTTGCTGTTGTTTGGCCTTGTAATTTTCTCATGACACACCTTTTTATCATGCCAGACTTTCTATACATTTGTTTTCTTGAATACCAGGAGGACTGAAGTAGTTCGAGAACTGATTGAAATTTTGAATTGTCTGCTATTGAAATAATGAAATTCTGAGTAGAATTATCAGGGTTTAAGAATGGTATTCCCCAATTTAGTGTTCCTACAGAGACACTCCAAATGATGTGCTGCTCAATCATTCCGCTCTCTTCTTTCTCCTTCTGTGGCAAGGTGGAGAGGAGAATTGGACTCACAAAAAGTAAAGATCATAGGCTGAGATAAGGACACTTCACTGGACACAACAATGAAATAAGACAATGAACTGTAACAGCAACAATACTAATGACAGAGTGCACAAGGAAAAAAAGTGATTGATCACCTGTGATTGCACACTGTGGAAACACCCAACCATACCCAGTCCCTCTGCCACACTACCCACAAGGGAGCCCTTCTCCTGTCCCCAGAAAATGACATGAGGTGGTACAGAATGACCTCCAGGTCCTAGCCATGGCTACTCTTGGCTACTGCAAAAATTAACCCTGTTCTGGCTAGAACCAGGGTAAGAATATAGTCAGGTATTTGGAAGCTTCAGGAGCAAGCTTTGTACTTTAAACCAGTGCTGATAATGCAAGATGTGATATCTTTCTGAAGAGAACTAATGTGTTAATTAAAATATGATGACTTCTGTTTTATTACATGTAATCTGGAGACCCTATCCAAATTATCAAATTAGTTTGTGACTGGAAGTCTAACACAAGCCTTGGTAATGGAAAAGAACATAAACATAACTGAGAAGTTTTTCTTACAAAGAATATATAAATTTCTTGACTTAAAAAAACATAAGGCAAGCAGCTTCATAAGTCATTTGATGTGCTGACATGATGTGATACTCAGATTGTCTTTTAAAAATATGTAGAATACTCAACATAAGTATTTTTGATTAAAATGCTCTAATGTTGAAACTTTCCAGATTAGAAAAAGAGTGTTTCTCCTCAAACAATCAAATGAAAGAAGTGATTGAGGAGAAGAAGAAGGTAATTATGGACCTCTCTGCAAGACTAGGGAATGCTGAAAAAAGCTGCAGTGAATTACAGAGCGAACTTGCAATGGTAAGACAAAAATGGCACTTGGCACTATGGCACTTGTTTTGGTTTTTTAAGCGTGCTCTGAACATAATCTGCATTTGCTGTGCTGAGCTGTGGAATAAATCTGACTTTGCGTTACTCTGATTTTTTATTTTTATTACTTTGTTTTGTGAAACAAGAGTAAATATAGATAAGATATTGGAGAAACTAATTCCAAAATGCATTTTAAGTGATACACTAAGTATTTAATTGAGGAATTATTTGCAGAAAACAGTTATTTCAAACAAGCCTTTGCATTCCTAATGAAGAAGGCAATTTGTAAATATGGACTGTAATTTTTTGTGAAGAATGTTCTATCTTCCTATCCAAGCTTTTTTTCCTCAGGCTTGATTAGTTACCATCGTAGACATAATTATTTCACATAATGTTTTTCATGCAAGCATTTGACTGCAAAAAATTTTTGAAAATGTCTTCTTTGAAGGTAGCAAACTTTTTAGTTGATTGGGGTTTTTTTTGTTAGTATGCATTTGTCCTGTTGGGTGTATTTTACAGGATTATTTTCTGAAATATGTTTCCTTTTATATGACCAGTTGGTGCCTTCCCACTGTCTCTACATATCCCAACTCTGAATATCAATTTTGCCATCCTCTTTAATAGCATGAGGGTCAAAACAAAAAACTTAGGTTACCTTCATTAATAGACGTAGATGAAGGGATGGAAGTGCGCCCTCAGCACATTTGCTGATGACACCAAGCTCAGTGGTGCAGTTGGCACAGCTGAAAGACAGGATGCCATCCAGAAAGACCTGGACAAGCTGGAGAAGTGGGCCCATGAAAATCTTCTGTTATTTACTAAGACCAAGTGCAAAGTGCTGCATCTGGGTCAGGGCAACCCCTGGTGTCAACACAAGCTGGGGATGAACAGATCAGAGGAGCCTTGCCCAGAAGGGCTTTGTGGGTGCACGTGGGTGAGAGGCTGGATGTGACCCTCCTGGAAGAAAGAAAGCCAAATATGTCCTGGGCTGCATCCAAAGCAGTGTGGTCAGCAGGGCAGAGGAGGGGTTCTGCCTCTCTGCTCTGCTCTGGTGAGACCTCACCTGCAGGGCTGCATCAGCTCTGTGATCCTCAGCATAGGACAGAGATGGACGTGTTGGAGAGAGTCCAGAGGAGGCCACCGAGTTATTACAGGGATGGACAGCTCTGCTATGAGGTAGCCAGGAGAAAAGAAGGATTTGGGGTGGCCCAATTGTGACCTTCCACTACCTGAATAGAGACTTTCCAGAACGGCATGTAGTAAGAGGACAAGTAGACTGGCTCCAAACTGAAAGAAGGTTTTCATCAGATATTAGGAAAAAAATTTTTATTGTAAGAGTTGTGAGGCACTTAAACATAACAAAAATTTATGAAACATAACAAAGAGACTCATAACAGAGAAGTTGTGAATGTCCTATTCTTGGAAGAGTTCAAGGCTGGGTTGGAGGGGACTTTGAGCAACCTGGTCTAGCATTAGAACTAGATGAACTTTAAACTGAAAACCTTATCTCTCTTCATTGTATAGTAGCATTTGTAGTATTTCTATACTTAGCCAATTTTTTTTTCAGTTGTAAATTTCTGCTCCTGCTTCCTCTTGGACTTATGAGTCTAGGAGATGACCACAATCTCTTTCCTGCTACTAGTAGGCAATTGTGCTATTCAGTATATAGGAGCAGAGATCTGCATCAGAGAGTTTTCAGATTTGTTGGTGTCTACTCTTCAGCTGATGGAATTACTTCATACATTGTCTTAGTGTTATCCACTTCCCAGGTAGATTGTTAACTAATAAATTGAAGAAAAATAAAACTAAAAAAACGTTTTTTCCTTTGGGAGGACACATCTTCTTCAATGCAAGCATTTAAGTATTAAAAGACATTTGCTGCCTTCTTCAATGCAAGCATTTAAGTATTAAAACACATTTGCTGCCTCAGTAAACCTGAAAAAATAATTGTATCAGGCACAAAAAGAATACTAAGAAAAATTCCACAGTAAAATATATGTTATGCCTGACAAGAATTCAGGACAAAAGTCTATTCATGCTTCAGGTTTATTGGTAATTACAACAGTATTAAATGGTGTACTCAAAATGAGCATTGTGTAGCTGAAAGTAAAAGCAAATAGATTGCCCCACTTGAAAGAACTGTCTTATTCATATAGCAGATTGTTTTAATTGGTTTACTGGAATTGTTTCAAGCCACAAGACTGTCTTGAACAGGTAATAAAAATACTCATTTTCTGAAGAGTTGTATTAGTGGTCCCCTGTGGGATTAGACTTTTATCACCTTGGATGGCCTTTTATTTTTCCTGAAGACTTTTGTATTCAATTGGGAAGCAGGAGTGCCTGTGTGTGGTCTTGTTTACTCAGTATAGGCAGCTTTTTTGTTATTTTTCTTCCCAAAATAAAAAACAGAAGGCTATTGTAGAAACTAAGTATAAATAGCATTCAGTATACTGTTATTAGGCTTCCCCTTACTTATACTAAAATTGTGTGAAATTGTCATTGTAGAAACTAAGTATAAATAACATTCAGTATACTGTTATTAGGCTTCCCCTTACTTATACTAAAATTGTGTGAAATTGTCAGTACATTCTTTTCCCTTTATTTCCACATCCTGCTTTCTTGATCTGTTAATTACTTCCTTGTATTTTGTACTATTATTGACATCCTGAATACATCTTTTCCATTTCAGTCTGGTAATCTTCAGTTGGTTTCTCACGGTACTGTTAACATACAAATTAATGTTTTCATTTGTAAAATATTTGTAAGATACGCATAATACATTATTTTGAAACTTTATATGAAAAAGTTTTTTTTTTCCTTAATGGATCAGTTGAATGTACAGTAAAGTAGTTACTTTGCTTGTAATTTTAAATACCAGCATGTTGCAGAGGTTTGCCAGAAACTTGCATGGGTCAAATGTGATAGGATCTGTTAGTATCAAACAAAATTTCTTACAAATGCTCAGCATGAGGAAGCTCTCAATATTTGCATCATGTGTACTTGAGGAAATTGGTCTCAAGCTTATAATTATCTAGCTAGGGTTTCTAGAAATTTTTAGATACAAGAACAGGAATTTAGAATAGCCATTGTGATTTAACACTTTGTTTAATTTGAAACAGCCCCAGCTGTATTCCTCCTCATGGAAAGAACAAGAGCTATCTTTAGGAGTTTTAAGTTACTCATGATATTTACATTTCTAGTACCTAGTAGTGGATGATTTTAGCATGGGACAAGCAGGAGATGTTAAACCTTTATTTTATGAGAAATGCAAATTGAAATTTGGGAAACTTGTCAGTTCATCAGAATGCATATTAGGAAAGTGAAATAATTAAAATATTGTGTCTTAGTATAAATTCCTTTAATTTGGAAGGTGTATTTATTTGCACTCCTTTTAACAGATTCTATCAGAAGTAGCATAATTTGTATGTAAGTTGTGTAATAGATTGCACACAGCTTGTGTTTTTCCACATGGCTTGTAAATCTTTCTTTTACAGCCAGACCTGAAGTCATGTTTGCACCTCAGCTGTCCATAAACACCTTGTAGGTTGTCATACGCTGAATGTCAGTACAGAAATATTTGAGAATCTAGTTCCAGGATGTACACATTAAGCATTGTTCTTTAGCAGAAGTTGCCTAGGTATTGACTTAACAGACCATGAAGGACCCTGAGGATTATGATTCTGTTCTACAACTTCTGTGGAATAGAAACTGGTACACAGTGGCAAACATGTAAATATCATCTAGGCAATTTAATGTGGACAGTTTATTTCAGTTTAAAAAAATATCCCAGTCATGATACACACTCTTCTTTAATTTTGTGCATTAATTGTTAAGGGTTGTTTTATTTTGATTGGTTTTTTCCTGCCTTAACACAGATGGAGAGTTTTTCTTCCCAGCTCTTACTTCTGTTATTGTCCTAATGTAAGAAGACTAGTTATTCTGAAGCATGTGCTTAAATGATCTTCTGCAAACAAACCACTTTTTAAATTTATTTTGAAGTGCAGAGGTCACTCAAGCTGTGATGTCCTGGTGTTGGAAGACAGGCGTCTAAAATCTAAATCTGCAGTTCTCAAAAAAATTTCTCTGACTTGGACAAAAAAATAAACGTCAAGACCCAAGGAGATACTTCATAACATTCTCTTCCAGCAAAAGTTGTTACAAATCTCTTTTTGTGGGAAGGACAAGAAGGATTTAAAAAAAACTTGAGCATTTTGATTAATATGTAAGACTGAGATATGAAATTTCTTGAGAGATTGTATTTAACTTGCACATGGCAAGACTCTTGTAGAGATTTTTGAATATTCCAGATATAAGAAAATAAAAGTATTCAATAGTTTGAGAACTTGAGCAAAAATAAATAGAAGCCTGAGAAGAGAGTTTGTCAGTGATGGTTTTGTTTTGTTTTTTATAATACAAGTTATGCCTGTTTACCGAAAAATTTGTGCCACTTTTCTGCTTTACAGAGCATCACTTGAGTAAAATCTGTGTTTTGTGAACTGTGGAGCAGTCTTTTGTATTTCTGTAAATGCTTTGATTTGCTGCCCCCAAGGTCATGCCTGGTAAACATTCTGATACTTTTGTAAAGAATTTACATAAGCACTTTTCAAGGCATATCTGAACATGCTGTTGCTTGGTGGCTATGTGGATAGTTCTGGGTTTGGCTCTTATCAATCACCAATTAGAATTTGTACTACAGACTGAGTGGGTTAATTAGTCCATGTGAAAGAGAGCCTCCCCAGGAACCCCTTGTGACTGCAGAAAAAGCAGAGAAAATTTCTCAGGAATTAAGGCAGTTCATTGTACATCTGGACCCTAACTCCCTGATTACTACTGCAGTGGTTTTGTTAAGGCAAGGCCTCAAAGTCCCGCCCACATGAAAAACAAAGTTACTGACCTTGAGATACAGATTCACATTTGCAGCATCAGATTCTGTGGGCTGTCCTGGAACTGTGTATAGAGTTCACATTTATTTTAGTCAACCATGGCTTTTGCAAAATGCTGCAAAAACAATGGGACATCATTTCTATATGGGAACAGGAACAAAAATCAAATACTGATAGTTAAGGAAAATATGTCTACAATCAAACTAGTAGGAACTTGTCCAGATAAATAAAAATACCTTTCTGGAAGATTAACACAAGTCTGACAGTGAATGGAAGAATTTTATAAGCAGTCACTTTTCAGGATAGTTCAAGTTATCCTTACAGATAAAGATAGAAAGTATTTGGAAAAAAAGATTTTCTCCTCTTTGGAGTTTACAGTATTTTAAATGAAAAATGCTTAGCTTCTCTTTATTTCCTTAAAAGTTCAATTTTGTTTTGAAATTGGTGATTAAATTAATATGTTGCCAAGCATATTTTCTACTAAAATGTTTTTGTCCTCAAGTGTTGTTTTATGATAATAGGAACCTTTTTTAAGGATATGAAGTTTGTTTCAAGGAAGCATTTTATATGGTAAAATTCAGCATATGTTCTGGGTTCAGGAAGTATGATTTTTCTTCCATGTTATTAGTTTTTTTTGTTATTCAGTTTGGAATATATTGTGAAAAAGAGAATTGTCTTTAGGGACTATGGGAAATACTATTATATGTTGAGAATTTTAAATTCTCAAGTGTTCATGGAAATTTCACTCATCTTAGGGACCTGGAATTCCCAAAGGCAGGTTCTTTGAGTGAAGACTGAGGTGAAAAAAAGCAATGAGAAGGCCTTTTCTCTCTCCTGATCACTGCCTCATTAGCAATGGGCCACATTTTGCCTTGTCCTTCTTTTGGAGGTGATGTACTTCAGAAATCTTTTACTGCTGCTCTTCATATCCCATGTCAGATTCAACTTCAGCTGAATTTTGGCATCCCTAAAGATATTCCTCTAGGCTTTAACGATGTATCTGTATTTTTCCAAGTTTAGTATGTCTGAACAATCTTCTTTATGCTTCCTTATTAATACTTGGTCAGGAGTCCCCTGCATATCCATACAAACCTCACGTTTGATTTTTAAAGTTGTTTTCAAGGATCACTGTCTAGGTCAAGAATGGTCCATTCTGGTGTAGAGGAAGTCAACAAAGTCATTAGAAGACTTATAAATTTTAATTGAGTTTATAACTATTTTTCCACCCGTTTACTAATGTGATCTGTGAAGCAAACTCTCCTTATGTAAAGGCTTTAGCAGTTTTCTTGTCAACTGATTTCCCTTTTGAAATAACCTAGGAAACAATTACACATGTACTTCTCCAGTAGTTCTACAGGAATGGCAAAACATGTGATGGATGGAATTGTTGAGAAGGATTGTAATCACATATCCTGGAACAGCTGAATCTGTCAGCTGCAATTGATTGTGTTTGACTCTATACTTGTACACTCCATTTTCCTTTTCAAAGTAAAGTATTATGCATACTCTCTGTGTTTGTTCAGACCTAAGAAAACTAAGCAAATAATAGCTACTGCTGTAAACTATCAAGTGGCTACTTGTGGAGAAGATGGAGGTACACTCTCCTTAGATCTGTGCATTCGAAGTAGAAGAGAAAACAGGAAAGTTATAATTATCTGTAAGGGGAAAACAAAAAACTTCACAATGCAGATTGTGAGATATTGGAACAGGTTGCCTGGAGGGTTTGTTGAAATGTCATCTTTGAGGATACTCAAAACTTGACAGAACAAGGTTCAGAGCTGCCTAACCTGACTTCGACCATACTGTGCTGTGAGTGGGGAGTGGGACCAGATGACCTCCACAGGTCCTGTCAGCTTAAATTCAAGATTTTATGACTGTATATGTTTTTATTAGATACCTGTCAGTGAGACATAAGAAATCAGATCAATAATAGATCCTTTTGGACTGTGCCTGGATTTTTAGCAGTGTAATTTATGGCAGATTTTTCCTTAAATTTCTGATAATGGGGACAGTGATTGAAAATAGAAGTTAGAACGGAAAGATACTAAATATTTTGCAGTTCAGGTGTAGAGAGACTGGCTAGTGTAAGTAATTTCCTTTTGATCTTTATTGCTGTTGAAAAAGGGACTAAAATTGACTTCAGAAGTATAGATGTAGTTAGCAAATAAAGCATAGAGAAGCGGTGAAGGCTGAATAGACTGGAACACACTGACTAAATTATGGTAAATTAACTAAACAAAATAGAAAAATTGGATGAAAAGATTGAAAAAAAATTCTCACATTTTACTTTTCCATAGAAAATGTTTTTCTGGGAAGATTTAGTCTCACCTTCTTTGTGCTGGAGTATTTTATGTAAAAACAACATTTATTTTATTGTGATGTTTTCATATTATTATATTTCCTTATTTTTTATTTGTGAGATGATGTCAGTACACAAGAGTAAAATACTTTATTGTGCTTGCATCCCATAAAATATTTTTACCGGATCTCAACATTTACAAGTTCTATTTATATAGATAATTTTATGGAGAAGGAATTAAACCTTGGTTATTTTTCAATATATAGAAGTGATTTGGAAATTCTTTATGAAGTGTAATACAAACTCTCACACAAGGAAAAGCGTGTAAATGCTACAGGGGACCTAACACTGGAATACACATATGAATAATATATTAGTTGATATACAGTACATATAATTAAAATTGAAAGAGTAAAGCAAATTTATAAAATATTTAAAATGAATAGTAAGGAACACTGCAGAGAATTAAATGCATTTCTTGTTTTTTTAGTCTTGACAGTTATCTGCTACCAGTATGTAGCAGTTTTCCTAGGGAGGATGTTTCCCATACATAAGAAATTGCCTGGGTTCTTTGACATGCAATGAAGCATAACTAAAGCAACAGTCTCTAGATATGATAGAAAACAGTAGAATTTTTCTCAGTAAAAAAGGTTAACTTTCCATTACCAAGTGGAAATGAAATTACACAAATATGTGTTACAATTTAGAATTTAGAAATAAATTGAGCAGTTAGAAGTCATGAGACATCTTTGACCAGAACCTCTGTCATAAGAAAATTGTGAAGTCATTTAAATAGTTTCCTCTTGAGGAGGGATGGAGGAATGGTTGGTTTTCTTTTTTTTTTTTTTTTTTTTGCTTCCTTTAGGTTTTCTAAATTGCTGAATTTTTGTCAGTCAGTCAGCAGCTAAAATCAGACATCTCCTTGAAAAGTCAAAACTCTGTGTACTCAAAAAGACCTTGATCTTGTCTGGAATTATGGATACATGTCTTTGAAAACTGCAAGTTATCAGATATAAATTGAAGGATTTATTTGGTATAGTCTTTCTATTGTAGTGATTTAAAAAAATCTGATGTAGAACTTTTCTGACCTCAAAAAATTTGGTGTCTTGATTTGAACAATAGACTGCACTTAGTGAACAGCTTTCTTTAAGAAAATTTGGTGATAGGGGCTAAGAACTCTGTAGTTTTATGTTCCATGCACAAGGATGAGGTTTTGGTATTGAAGAAATCCCTGTCTAGCATGGAACATATTAGCAATTGAACTAGGCAGGGTTTGCAATGAGAATAGGTGTGGGATTTGACTGAGTGCCAAATCATGGATTTCTAGCCTGTGTGCCAGTAGTTGGGTGTCTTTCTGGATGCCCTTGTAGGATGTAACAATAGATTTCACTGCTTGCATAGATGGGCAGAATTTAGTGTCCATTAAGATACTTTTAAAGCAGAAGATTATGAAGACTATGTTTTTGTACAACCATCTTTTGTTTTGCTTTTGAAATCCTTTAGTTTTATGTTGTGTGTTACAAGGTTCTTATTTGTTATGTCATGCTAGGTCTCTTGGCTTGAGAAAAGACATAAAAAGAAATACAGTAGAAATTTAAATTTAAAAAGGAAATTTAAAAATTCTGTTTACTTATTTTAATGTATTTTTCCCCATCCCCTCTTGTCTTGTCTGTTCCTCCTGTCAAATAAAGGCCAAGAAACACCAGGTCTTTCTAACAGAGACGTATGAAAACAACATGAGAGAGCTGGAGTTACTCTTGGACAGCTTTGCTATGTCAGGCCAGCGGACAGCAGGTTAGTTGAAGGTATAAAATGACAGATGCATCTGTCAATGTTCCAAAGTCACTACATTGTGGGAATTCTGCAGATGCCTCTTGCATTCCCTCTTCTCAACATGCTTTGATTTGATGACATGATAAGAGCAGTTCTCACAGCAGTCAAATGGCCTTGCTAGCTGAGAAAGGGTGACGGATTGTGGACCTGCTGTTGTCAGCCCAGAGCTTGATTTACAAATGCTGGGGTGTATATGATCGGTCAGAAAAGGGCTCACTTGCTGTGCTCTAAATCCAACTGAGAAAAAAGTCCTTACAGTATACCTGCAAAGGGAACAGATGTTTTGCCTGAACTGAGCCAAATTCTGAGGCAACCTTCAGCAACTTAAAGGTCATATATTCAAAAAGGTTGTGTAGGACACATGATGCAACACAATACTTTTTACAGTTGATTGTGGATGTGTACTATGTTGCATTCATTTAATCTGATACAGAACAAATGTTTCCCTTTCTTCATTAAAAAAAATTGTAATTCAGTGGTTGTCACTCTGCTACCTGGCTTTATATATAAGTAGTGTATCAGACTTAACAAACTGCTGCCTGGTTAGAAATTTGAAATAGTGGCTAATATAAACAAGTTGAACTGTAATGTCAAGCTAGTGATTTTTTTAAAGCTGAAAACTGGCAATTTAAAAAAATTTCATTTAAAACTTAGTTCCTGTTAGAAAAATTGCATACTAGACACAAAATGCTTCCAATTTACAGTGAAAGTAAACAGGAAGAAAACAAGTAAAATGGAGTGTTCTGGCACTTTTTAACAACAATAGACATAAATGGTTTGCTAAAAACACTTTGAAATGAAGATACACTTTCTTGTATCTTCACAAAGAGTTTTTTTTAGGGCCTGGTGATACTGAATTTCAATAAAGAAACAACTTCTTGGGATTTCTTTTATCCTTAAAAGGTGAGCTTGGATTCTGTCATGCATTGATTTCCTTGCATAGGCCATATGCTTCATTGTTTGGGACTGGTATCAGTTTTATTCTGTAATTATAAATGTGATAATACCTGTAGGTTTACAGTTGAAAAGCTCTTTAAGACTGTAGGTTTTCCACAGTTTTGCCAAGTTCCACGTGCTTTAAAAGGACTTGAGTAAATCTGGGGGGAGTTACTTAAGCAAGTAAGTGCAATTTACAAAGCAGCAATTATCTTTTGGATGGTAAGCCTTGCTAAGAACAGCTTTCACTTGTTTCTATAATATGAGAAATTTAATAACAGTACCTTTAGTACTAATTTCCTTTGTCTGAGATAAACTTTTAAACTAATTTAAATTGATCTTTTTTTTCAAGCTTTAGGATCTGTGAAGAGGCTCTTGAGGCAGATAGTAGAACTTAGCTTTGCAGTGGATTGCCTGAGTCCTTACAGTCAATTCCAGTTTTTTACTATTAGAATAGACATTGACTAAGACTTTTGTCCGACATATTTGTTATGCTTTTAAGTTTGAAACTTAAATTTAATGCTTTGCATTATTATATTATCACTGTGGTGTACTTACAAATTTTTGTATTTAATAGCATTTATTCAAATTTTTTAAAATTGTTATTATATTTGAAAGGGAATACCTATGTGCTAATAAAAGTAAAAATCTTAAATAAATCTTTTTAGTCTAATTACTAGATGAGGGGCTACATTAGCCACAGTTGATAGGGAAGTCTTTCTTGTTCTTGTGGTCAACATTGAACTCAAGGGGTTGAGAGATCTACTTAAAAATCTATCAGTATTAAAGATCCAACACTAAAGATTCAGCCCCTTAATTCAAGTGCTGAGCAGTCTATGATTATTAACCTATACAGTAAAGAGAAGATAATACTATCTTTTTATTGATAGTATTGATCATTGGCCCAGTTGATGTGGGCTGATGCCAGGCACCTATGAAAGCTGCTAATTGTGCAGCTGGACAGAGGAGAGGAAATTTAATGTAGGGTTCATGGTTAGGACCAGAAGAGTTCACTCATCAAATACCATCACAGGCAAAACAGGCTTAACTTACAGATATGAACTTACTTACAGATAAGAACATCAGAGCAGGATAAAGAGAGGTAAAACAAGCCCTTTAAAAACACCTTCCCCCCATCCCTCCCTCTACCTCCTTTGCCAGCTGTACCTCCTACCCAGCTGGCACGAGGAGACAGGGAATGGGTGTTACATTAGTTCATCACCTGTGGTTCATCACCTGTGGCTTCTCCTGCTGCTCAGGGAGAGGGAGTCCGTCTCCTGCTGCACTGCAGGGTCCCTCCCACAGCAAACAGTTCACTGAGAGCTTCTCCAACGTGGCTCCATCTCATCAGCAACAGCTCCCTCCAAACTGCTGCAACGTGAGTCCATCCCACAGGCAACAGTTCTCCCAAAACTGCTGCAGCCTGGGTCACTGTTCCGTGGGGTGCAGTGCTCCAAGGACAGGCTGCTCCAGCCTGGCAGCAGGAGCCCTCTCTCCACAGGCCTCCCACAGGATCTCAGCCTCTTCCAGGGTATCTGCCTGCTGCAGTGTGGGGCTCCTCCACAGGCTGTGGGCAGATCTCTGCATCCCTGTGGCCCTGCATGGGCACAGCTGCTTCCCCATGGGCTGCACCACGGCCCGCAGAGGAATGTGGGCTCTGGTGCCTGGAGCACCTCCTGTCCCTTCTTCTGCACTGACCCTGGTGTCTGCAATGTTGTTCTTCTCACTTGTTCTCACTCCTGCTTCTCTGTACTGCCAATTACAGCAGCCAGCAACATGTCCATCTTTGGAGCCACGAGGGATTGGCTCTGCTGGACATGGTGGAAGCTTCTAGCAACTTCTCACAGAAGCCACCCCTGAAGCCTCTCCACCATCAAAAACCAGCCCATGCAAACTCAATGCAGATTAAAACCTAAATAGTTTTAGAAAACTTTTTTTTTCCTTTATGCACGTCAAAATAACAAGCAAAAATCCATGTTTTCTCCTTTTCCAGTGACCTTTATATATTTTCCAGAGCATTGTTATTCTCATTGGTTCATTTGCATGAATTCACTTTGTATCTTTTCAGTTTATCGCATTGTGCAGTTATTCAGCAATAGGGTGTGTTCTTAAGAGTCTTTGTCCTCTGGAAAAAGTAGTTATGGTCGTAGTAATCTGAAAAAAGGGTGAAATGGGTGCGAAGTCCTAAGAGTGTTAGCTGCTTTGAGTTAGCATCACCTTTTTTTGGTCAAAAATTGAAAACACAGCACCATATGAGCTGTTCTGAAGAAAATTATCTCTTTTCCTACCCTTGGCCCAGTACAGCTAGCAGAAAGTCTGAAACAGAAGATTTAAGAGTTTGTTCACTTGTATACTTCTGCAAGACTCGTATGGAACTTGGCATTTTTCCCCAATTCTTCCCTCAAGCTCTTGGGCAGTACTGGGCGCACACTTCAAGAACTGGGTTGCGTTTTTTATCTCATTGCTGACATCATGCTTCTGCCACAACAGAGTGTGTTTGGATTATGCTGCATGTCTCCTGCACAGTTGTATGAAGTCAGACAACATTTGGGCAGCATTAAAGCCACAGGTCTGTTTTCAAATGGTAGACTGAATCTGTATTTCTATTGGCAGATTGAGCTGCCTAGAAGTAGGGTTAGAGCAAAGGGAAGGAATGACAGCATGAAAAGCTTACTGGCAAAATTCTAATTTTGGCAAACATGATATTAATCCAACATCATTGCAGGTTGGGACTTAAAATATGAAAATACTTTATGTAGACAGTTTGACAGAAACTATGGTATGGAAGATAACTCTTGGATAGACTTAATACGCATTGTTTTAAAGTGAATGAGAATTGTTTACCACTTTGCTAGAGCTACAAGTATGAAAAAATAGTGTTTATTTTTTTGTGCAATAAGATCAACGCATAATGTTCCTACAATGGGTAGTAGTGAGAGGTTGGTCTTGTAAATAAGAAGATTGGACTGGAGCTCTCTGCATTGCTGTAGCTGTGGTTATGTGATAAAAATTATCCTAAGGTCACAGTCAGCACTTTCTTCAATGTAAAATCTTCTCAAAAGAGGTCAGATTTTATGAATTCTTCTTAGGTTGGTTTTAAGTGTAACACAGTTGTTTGGGATATCTCTAGGATTCACAGGGCTCTGAAGTGTCATTAAGAAACTCTTGTTTTTTCCCTGACTCTACAGACTTTTAGAAACTGTGGTAAGTAGTGGAGTGGCTGATAGGACAGAGGTCAGTCCCTGGGATGTGCATGCTGTAGAGCCGATCTTGCTCCTGCTGCTGAAAGCAATCTTGCAAATATGTGTTGCTTTGAATAGGTGGGACTTTGTAACACCTAGTCCAGCCTGAACAGCACTTTATACTTTCTGGTATTATCAAAAGTCAGGAGAGAAGAGGCTAACTAATTGAAAGAATTTTGTAAACACCAATTGGCAATACGTTCTGACTTGTGCACTTAAGTACGTTTTCCACTGAGTTCTATTGGTGTATTACATGTAGCCTACAAGAGGAATTTAATTATTTTTATACAATGCCGTAGTAGAATGTCGTGCTTATTAGATGACACTAATTATAGAATATTTTTTAAATGCCCAGCAAGTATGTAAGTGGACCTCCTCTGATAAAGTTTTATGGAGAGCCAAAGAAAAGTCTCAGACTTTAGTACCTGATTTGACTTCATGAGCCACCCTGTGTAAATTGCTTAGTGACACTGGTGATAAGCGCCTCTATCATTGTTTAGTTGTGCTGGGAGTTTTGATGATTTAGCTTTCCCGGATTTAAAATTCCCCAGATATTTTCACTTTTGCAAAATAAGGCTGCTATTATAGTTGGTAAAGATAGTTTTCCTTAGAGAACATGTTAAAAATTGTTGAAACGTTGATACTATAATTTGCCACACAATAAGTGATAAAAGTTTTTTTCTAAGAATATAAATAATGCTGAGAGGAATGGTCTGTCAATAACCTAGTATTGTGGTGTAACACCAGGAAAAAAGAAAAGTTTGTTCTTGGAAACTGAATATCAGCTGACATCTTGTGACCTCTCGATCAATACAGTGTTGTTTTGCTTTCTTGGCACATTGTTCTATGCACTTTGGAATGGTCAGACTTGTTCATATGTCCCCAATAAGGGCAACAAGATCAGAAGTCTCAATCTAAAGGTTTAATAAATAAGTTTAGTGTGTATATAATTGTTATATCAGATTTATAATTGAACTGTTATATAGGACCCTACAGACAGATACTATTTTTTTTGTCATATCCTTCAGAATAAAATTTAATATAATTTAAAATGTTATCAAGTCCTCTCCAAGCATAGCATAATCATATGATCTTTGGCTCCGTAAGGCTTTGAGTAAATGAAGTACTGCATTACTATATGCATGCTCAGTCACAACACCAAAATAATGTCAGGAAAAGTGTAACATTCTTAAATTTCAGACAACATGTTTTTCAAAGTATATAATTGTGTGGTTTAAAAGTTGGCTTGTCTGACTGAATGACACAGGTTTGACCACAGTAGGAATAATATGTGAGACTGCATACCAAATGCATTAGACATAAATGTAATCCAGAATTTACAGTTCTGTATCTTCTATTAAAGCTTTTAAACAGATGCCTTTTAGCTCTATTTGCTATGAAAGCATGGCTATACAGCTGTATCTCTCATGGCAAACAAGGCTGCTCTTCAGTGTTCTGTATTGTCACTGAAGCCCTAAATAATTCTAATACCTCACATCCAGGGTGAGTAATTTTCTCTCTGTGGCTTTAAGGCTTAATTTTTGTTCTGTGTTTTCCTTCAGGCACTTGTGAGGACAAAGATAAACCTCTGAGCTGCTCTGTCGTTGAGACTTTGAGGTGTACCTTGACAGCTTACCAGAACAAGCTGGAAGATACGTCTAATGAGGTAGCACTTGCAATGTTTGGCTCTATATGTATTGCATTTGGCCTGCAGCAGAACATACACTTGGCTTGTAAAAAAACTGCAGAAGAGTGGGAATGTTGAGTAGACAGCTTCAAGTATGCCTGAAGAAAAAATCTCTGTCGCTACTATTTCTCTAAGCTTGCCCTACAGTAAAGTTTCACATTTGTGGGGACAGGGAGAACAGTTTTTTGTCTTTCTAGTTTAATTTGCTTTTCTAGTTCAGTCTTTTGGGGTTATTTTCAAAAAACATTTAGAATAACAAGCCGCTCATATATAGAATGTTAGTTAGAAGATAATGATCTAAGAGGGCAGCTGCATATACTGCAGCGTTCCTAAAAACACAATGGTTGAGCCTCATTAATCACTGCTATCAGGCATGCTCCCCTGTACTTCTAAAACTGGTATAATTTTCTGAGGAGAGTGTTTTCAATGGATTCTCTTTGGGAGCTTTTTTGCTATAATTTCAATAAAAATGTTAGAATACTGTCTTTATGTTATCTAATAAAATAATGGAAGTATTTCAATTTTGGGAAACTTACCCTTGAAAAATATCAGATGTTTTCCATGCAGTCCTTTTATAACACTGACTGAGAAGTTACAGTTTTGCATTTCTTTTCTTGTGTTTTTTGCTAGTCTGACTAAATTACTCCTCTTGGGTGTAAATGTGTTATTAATTTGTGGCTTTAAAGGCTGTACAGAGAAGTTAACTGCACCATTAAAACTTTTTGTACAAACATGTGATTAGACTTTGAATAAAACTGGCAAATACAGAAAGGCAAGGTGTGATGAGATTGTAAAGTGCCAGCACTCTTATTTAATTTCTAGGTTTTGTCTATTATTTTGACAAATGCATCGTCTAGCTAGTCATTCAACAGGTTTAAAACAATTAAAAATTAAAAATAAAAAAAGAAAACTATATTAGCTTTGCCCTTTTTAGTGGAAAAAATAGGTCTCCCACAAGACCTTTGAGTTTGTTCAAGGGGCACAAAAATAAGTGACCATGGTAACAATTACACTTTTTAAACAGCAAGCACTGTTAAGTCTCTCCCAGCGAGATAAGACAACTGATGTGTATAGTCATTATGAAACTCTTCTGAGACCCAAGTCTGGAAGCTGCAGAGTAACTAGGAACATATTGCCCACCGCGAATTGTTATTTGGGAGGAGGAGCATCACGTGATAGACAGCACAGTTGAAAAGTCGACTCAGCAGGCTTTGGCTTAGTGATGTGCTTTGTTGTGAAACTGTGCCAGAGACAGCAGTGGGGAGACCAAGGGGGTGGCTTCTAAGAAAGCAGAGAGAGTGTTCTGACAGAAAGAAGAATGAACTGTCAAGGAAAATAAATCGCAAGCAGAGCAGGACCAACAGATGACCTGCCACAAGACTTCCCAGTAGGACTGTGTGTGACTGACCCTGAAGTTGTCATATGGAGCCAGAGATCACTGAGCACCTTCGTGGTGCACAGAAAGGGCAGTGCTCTGTCCTTCTTGATTACCCCTGCCCCCACAGAGAATGCTGCTTTTGGCTTTTTATGTGTGAGATATGTTTAATAATAAAACTTTAATAATACAATAATGCACAAGGGGACTATGAAGGGCACTGTGCAATAAAACTAGGTTGTTTTAATACACAATAAGGAAGGGTTTTAGTAGCAACACAACAGTAAGCAAATTTTAGTGGTTTCCTTTATAAAAAGATTTTCAACAAGATCCCACATATTGATGAATTTATTAATGTATGTGTACACCTGTATGTATATGTGAAATACGCTGGTAAACTTGTCATGTGTCATCTTTAACTTACTGTGTTAAACATTTGATTAAAAGATCTGGTTAGTTTGTGTAGTCACACAAACTAACAAACAGAAAGGTGTAGAAGTGTTTTGGGTTTTGAAGATAACTAACTTCTGACTTTCTGTATAGTGCAGATACCAGAACATGTTTGGATAGAGGGAAATGATTAGTAAACTAATAAAAAGACTGGAAATATTCCAGTAGCATTCTTTAATTTACTGTAATTATTTCTAAGGATTCTGTCAAGTTTCCTGACATCAAAATATAAAAATAAACATTTTAAATGTAATTCATAAATTTTGCAAATTAGGTGTTCTATTTCTGAGTTGCTCCTTAAATGTCAGGCGTTAGCAGCATCATCATAAAAACAGAGATACACATTATTTTGTTATGTAGTTACTGTTTTTGAAAGCGGAAAGTGAAGCCAGTACACATGGTAGTACCTCAGTACATATTAAGCAACCTCTGAGATTGCTTTTGCTTTTAAGCCTAAAAGTCATTGTGCCTCTGTGGTACATTGATGCTTTTTACAGTATGTGAGTACTATCCAGTGCTCTGTAAAGAATCAAGCTTGTAGCTAGACAATTTCTGCAAATGGCCACTGACTTGAAAACTTGTTTGCTCAAACCACTCCCCAGATGATTATCTGAATTTACTATACTTTCAAGTGCATTTCAGAAGCTGTGTTTTTGTCAGATATTTTGAGAGTTAATAGGATAGGTAAGAATGGACTCAGTTTGGGATTCTGCCACTACTCTTCATTTTAAATCATTGTAAAAGATTATTTAGGGTTTTGTAATGGCATATTATTTAGATGGTATGTAGTACAAAAGCTCTTCAAGGAATTTAAATAAATTTTGTTTTTTACTTTCATGTATGAAATTCTTCCTTTATATTATATTGAATAGATCATTGCACCCTTTCTGTAAAAGCCTCTTTGACTTTCATATTTTTTGCAGCTTGAGAAAATGAAGGCTTTGTGTAAAAAGACAACAAAAGAACTTGAGGTATCTGAGGAGAAAATGTGTGCTTTAAGACAAGACCTGAAGGTAGGTTTAATGAACTTAGCATAAAATGTGAACATTTTGCAAAACCTATCTTTCCGGATTAAAAGTATTTTTTTTCTTATCAGAGTAAGTCCTTCTATCATTGTAGTCTATTGAGCAAACTAGTTTACCTCACAAGTTTCTGTGAAATCATGCTGCTTTATCCTAGTTATCACTATAAAGCACATAATTTCAATGATTGCCCTTCTGAAATAATTAAAATACCTTGATAAATTTTCAAGTATTGTTTTATATTGAAATCATTATCAGTAATCTTTTTTGTTTAACTGTTTTTCTCAAGAAAAGGGAAAGAGAATTTAATTATCTCTATGCATATGAAGGTATATTTTTTTAACTATGTCAATTCTTTAGTTAATTGTTTTGTTTATGTTTGTCAGAAGGGTCAATGCATGTGATACATCAAGTTCTCTTTAACATCTGTAAAGTATGCAGCCTAAAATTTCTTGGAGTAAAAGTTACCTGAGATAAAAACACTTGAGAGCTCTTTCCTTTAGTTTTGGAAATATTTTTTTTCTTTCTGTTTTTGGCTGACACCACTTTTGTAATGTCCTTTCTGGTTAAATCAATAGCCAAGGGAGTGAGCAAATCCTGAGGTTGTGTTTTAACTAAATCTCCCAACTAGCACTGTATTGTATTACTGCCAAAATGGAATGTCTGTAAACACAGCATTTTTCAGATTCTTTTTCTGAGGATATGCTGTTTTATGTTTTATGCAGTGCTTTTCTCTAACATTCATTGAATCTTCACATTAATGGATATGATGTGTTGTCACCTGTTATGAACTTTCTTTACTAATTTATGTTCAGAAGATTTAGGACTTCTACTTCTGTTACAGCACTTTTTTAAGTCACCTAAAAATTTTGCAACCTTTGCAAGAGATACTTGTATTCTTCATGCACAAACTGAGCTTGCTACACACACAGGGTACTGGTTTTTATGCAATATGCCAGTTTTCAATCTCTCTAAATTTTTGGTAATAATATTGTATAGATGATCAAAATCTAGATCTAGTCTGAAAGCATTTCTATTGGAAATTTAAAATTACTTTAATATTTTAATGTTTCTATTTAGAAGAATAAAGCTTGTCATTTTCTGATTAATTTAGCGGTATGTTTTGTATGATTTTATGGTCTATGAAGCTATGATTTTATGAAAAATCAACAATGCTTTCAGTTTGACCTTTTGCAAACTTTAGCAGTGCTGGAAATCCAGTGTAACTGCACCATATTTTGGCTCAGAGGGGGTATTATATTAAGTTCTATGTTTACCTGATGAGATTTTGATGTTTGTTACATAACAGTATTTATGACTACTTCTAATTACTTATTTCCCATGGTCAACCTCCAAAGAGAGTCCTCACTTTTTTTTATCTTGCATGTAAAGAATACAGTGCACAACAGCATCTCTGTTGCTTGCAGACTCAGCCGTAACAGATCAGGGATTCACTTAAGAAAATAATGTATCTTTTCAATGGGTCTAGAGCTTTGTGCTCTGCAGAGGATAAGTTGCATTCTTGTGTTCTGCATGTCATTTGTGGGGGTAGAGGGGACTGTGAAGTTTACTGTATCATGGAGCCTTTACCTGTCAGAGATGGATTTCCAATGCTGTCTGGTTGCAAGCTGTTCAAGAGGCCTATTGTCAATTTTGAAACTCTATTCTTGAAAGATAAAGTCCACCCAGCCTGGATTCTTGTGAATACATGTGGTTATATGACTGTTTCTTTCCTCAGGTGATGAACACTTGGATAGGGTATCATTTTATAGAGTAAAATTTATACCAGCTTTTCTGTTAAATTCCTCTGTTTTACAGGAAGTTCAGGATACCATGGCTGATACCAAGAAAGAGTTAAACTATCTGCACACTAAGTGTGCAGACAGAGAGACCTTAATAGAAACTTTAAAAATGGAACTGCAGAATGTACAGCAATGCTGGGAGAAAGAGCAAGTACGTGCCACAGAATCTGAAAATGAAATCCAGAAGCTTACCAGGGCTTACCAGAAGGATATGGAGGTATTACTAGAGACAAGATGACTGTCAAAGAGTCTTTATTTAATCTCAGCTTTATACATTTACATACATCAGATGGTTACTCTTAGTTTTAACAGATTTATCCCTAAAATATGATTTTAAGATACGTATTTTGAAATATGTGTTTAATATCTACAGGATTTCAGGACATATTGGTTCTCCTTTCTTCTGTATCAGAACTAATAGCTTAATCATTCCCGTATTTTAAATTTTTGAAAAACAGACTTTATTTAAAAAGCTATGCCTGACGAACAATTCTTTCTTTATTTCAAATTAAAAGTTAGCAAAAATGTTTTACAATTGAAACATGTAATATTGTCATTATCATGTGTTAATTACTGATCCACGTGTAAAATGATAGATAGCAAATATGGAATTGAGGTAATTTTGCATGCATGCCACAAAACCTAGAAATTCTTACCTTTATCTGTTACCTAATTGTAGTGTGCTATATGTGGGAATGGGTCTACAATGTCTTAGTTCAGAACTATTATCTTTCTCCTTATATGTATTAACAGATGTTAATTTTGTTGCTTTTTCCGCCCAATAAAGTGGTTCTGTACTATCAAGGGCAATGATATACTTGTAGTTGTTGTGCATATTGAGTTCATTACTTCCACAAATTTGGACATGGATGCCAACTGAGTAAAAAGGAAACATTCTTTCCACCTCTTTTACAGTCTGGTATTTAAATAGGGTCCACATGAAGCAGCTGGAATTGTTACACACATCAGATAATGATTAAAGTGGAGGAAACTAGAAGTCTGGCTATATTGTAAAGTCAGCATGTCTACAACCCTGCGGTTGCATTCAACATGTGTGAATTGATTTGGGGTCTTGGAATCCTGTTTCTCATGCCAAATGGATAATTATCGTCCTAGTTTTATCACAGCTCAAACATCAAATGTAATGATGGTGGCACACTGGATTTTCCTTGGGGAATTTGTAGATCTGTTAGAAACAAAGTTAAACTAAACTGAACTACAATTTATTTTTAATTGCCTAAAGCACCATGAGATAATTGTGAGAAAATACACCTAAGTGTAATGGAAAGAGCTCAGAACAATTCTACTTTCCAATCTTGGTCATCCGTATTTTCTTAATGGAAAATTTCAACCAAGGCCCCTGGAAAATAATGGGAACCTTTGCAATAGTTTACAGACTTTGTCCTTATGACTTTTGAGGTACAACTTGCTATTGTTGTCTTAATCAAAGTTGCTAAGTTGCATATATGTACTGAAAGCACTAAGGATGAATTTCTATAGCATTCTATTTTTGCTAAAGTTTATTTATAACTTGAATCAATTTATTATATTACTGACTAAAATCAGTGTAAATGAATGAGGCATGGCTTGTGGAATTTAACTCATGAAGCTATAAGCCTGTTTTGTCTGGCCATTTGGTCTCATATATAATCCATACAAAAACAATTTAAAAAAGACTTCAGAGTGATAGTTGTATAAATAGTGTCTTGTGCTGCCAAGCCAATCAGAGGATTTTCTGCATGCTCTGCAGTTGTTGTAAGTGGATACAGTTAGAGTATAACTGAAAGTTTTACCATAAATAAATAAATTGCATATACTAATAGCATGGAATTTTTTATCTGTATCAGATAGTCATTGTGATAACAGCAGGACTGTTCTGTATTTATATAAACTATTTATATATTATGTCTGAATAGACACATTTTGTGAAAACTGTTTTCTTACATTCGCTTCAATATGTATGACTGCAAATATTAGCAATTATGGTATTTTGAAAAAGGTTTGTGAATGAGCTATGTGGGCTTTTTTTCACTTGCATGTAGTTCGTATTACTGCCCATGTGATGCACATCTTTCAATTCTAACACTGTTCAGAGACATCATGTAATTCTCCTTTTGTTTCAGGAGAAACTAACCTTCCTTCACAGCTTATACCAGCATTTGATAGCAGGCTGTGTGCTAATAAAACAACCAGAAGGCATCCTAGATAGATTCTCTTGGCCTGAGCTTTGTGTAGTCTTGCAGGAGAATGTTGATGCCCTGATCTCAGACCTCAACAGGGCTAATGAGAAGGTAAGTGTCCTTAGGCACCAGCTACCTCTATTAAATTCAGTGACATTTGTCCACGTTGCAGTATCATTAAAAAGGACTGACATTCATCTTATTTCAAAAAGAATTTGGACGTTAATAATTCAATACCATTAATTATGGCTTGTCTACAACTCAGTTTGATGCCATTGCTGTGGGCATGTAAATGTGACTGAAGTCTGTATGAAGTCTCTAAGCTCCACTTTCAGTGCAGGACATGCTAATAGTACTAGCCAATATTAGCCACAGGGACCTAATTAAAAGAAAATAAATTAATCTTACTGATGAAGCAATTCAAAGAACTTAGTCATTTACACTAATAAAGCAAGTCTTTATTTTACCATAAAACTGAAACAAAATGCCCTTACTCAAGGAGTGTCGTCTTTAAATTATATGTTTATTATTCAGAGTTTATTATTTCATTTGAAAGAATGACAGTGTATTTTTTCATTTAATTGCAACTCATGGATTATAGAATTATATTCAGTAACACAAACAGAAAATACCAGTTTTTATAAAACATTTCAATATTTGCTATAGAGAGGAGCTGTAATTTTCAGGGTGCAAGTAAGCTTATGTGGCCTTTCTCTCCATAAATCCCTGCATTTTTAGGAAAGAAAAATCTGCTTTTAAATAAATAAAACTGACTTCACAGACTAACATATGACAGTCTTTAGAATTTCAGTTCATTTTCTGGCTCCATTGATCAGGTCAGTCCTAAGACTAGTGCAGCAACTCCAGAACTTGTCTCTGCTGACATTTTTTAAGACATAGTAGGGGAAAATCTTATTTTGACATTTTTCATCTTCAGGAGTGACCACTCTTCTGGTCTGAGTAAGATGCAGGGCTGGTTACAGTGAATTGTTTTAACTCTGCCCATCAATTAATAAATACCTCAGCAGTCAGTTGGACCTACCTCCTTACCGATGGGGTAGGATAAAATCTGGATTATGAACATTTGATATACTTTTTCATTTTACTTTTGAAGTAAATGAGGAAATGGGAGTGGAAGAGAAGGGAGTGAACATTATTGGCAATGTTTGAGGATACTGTGTCATATTGTTTCTTGCTTTTTAATTTAGTATGGTTATTGATATTGACTGTGAGGTCTCTAGGACTTTTTTCATATACTCACCAGCTTTTCAGGGATTTTGAACAGTATGTCACTCATGTTGTAACTGCTTTCTTGGGAGCAAAATTTTCCTCTTGCATTTCTGTGTGATGCATTTGAAAAGTAGCTTGCTGATACTCTCTAGTAATTAATTGTAGGTGTGTGTATTTCACAATTTTTCTTACCTTGATTCATTCCTTCATTTAGTTTGCATGGGAGCTACTAAGTTATCCACAGAGTGAATCCATTTGTACTTGTCGAAAACAACTTCTGTGTGCTAAAATGTTCTGAAATTCTTTTAATGCTTAATAGTATTTGGAATGTTTTGGTTTTCCACTAAAACAAAAATTATATTAAGGACTGTTTTTTTTATATATTATCTACAATTCTTGCAAACTTCTAAGGGACTGGTATACTCAGATTGGTACTTTACCATCACAAGATTTAATGCTCTTGTTACAAAAAGCCAAAACATAGGAGACATGTCCAGTTCAGGTTTTCAACAAAGAAAGCAACAAGCATCTGCAGTATGGTACGGCAATGGCAAAACTGAATCCAATTTTTTGTTCATATTGTTGCACAACTCAAGTAAATAATCTATCATGAGAGGCTTTTACTTAATTTTAATGAAAATAATGAATAAATTACAGTTTAGATTTTATGACATCTGCGGTTAAACTGATATACACAATAAAGTAAAAAGGTGCTTAGAGAAATAAAATAATTTCTTTTTAAATGCTTGTTACACAGATATCTCACCTGGAATATGTTTGTAAAAACAAGTCCAATACTATGAAGGAGCTTCAGCAGAGCCAGGAAGATGCTTTTAACAAAATGGCTGAACAAATGAAAGCACAGGCAAGCTGTTGGCAGAATGAAAAAAAGTATCTGGAACAGCAGTACTCAGGTCTCCTTGGGGAAGTTCATGCAAGGGCACAGGTATGGTGCTATGAACTTCTGATTTTTTTTTTTCTTGTAAATATTTAATGGATTATTTCCATAGTTTGAACCCCTAACCAGTTTAAGGTTGTTTAAAATTAAAAAAAATCTGCAAACTCCATGCTAGTATTGACTTCATTTATAATAAGAAATAAATTTCTTTGTTAAAACATTCTAGGAGTGAATTGCCTAATTTGGCTTTTTGGTTTTTTTTTTGAGAATGTTAAGGCTGTAAGATTGAACTTGCTTGATTTAAGAATTATATAGGGCAGCAGTGATTTTTTTCAGTGTCATGCTTTGCAAAGACTGTGTAGCGATACAGTAAAATGGTCTCATCTGGGGATAAATTTAGATATATACGTTCTGACCCTAAAAACCAATTAGCAGTGGTAGATTTCAACAATATTAGAGGATGCTGTTACACAGATGAATCAGTGAGCGGTGGGTCAAAAGTGTAATGCTATTGTTACTGATTGTTAGACAAGTTCTTTGCAATTTAAAATGCTCACTATTATTCTACAACTACCATTCACCATCTTTTCAATCACATTCATTTACATGTGTTTCAATAAAAGTGTTGTGAAATTGAGGAGATAAGGTATGCCTTGTTACTTGTGACTGCCACCTGTGACTTACTTTATCTGAAGAATGCTATATTTGATGCAGATTTTAGTCTTGGAAGTCCTTGTGTGCTGAAAAATACATTTATGAAGCATTCTATTTACAGAGCAATTTATGGTGAGTTCTTAGGACTGAGTTATATTTTTTTAGATTTTTTTGCTTGATATTTACAGTTCACATTGGATATTGACAAGGCTACAAACATCAGGGTGAGTGGAATAAGTGGCATCCAGATTTATATTTAATTTCCCCATCATCGTGTAGTTTCAGTTTATGGTTTTCATTTGCCAACAGAAAGAATGGTAGAATAAGGAAGCTTCATTTTAATTTTAAAAATTACATTTCCTTCTTAAATAAAAAGTGGAGTTACACAATTTAGATTTCTTCCTCCTATGCATGATGGGTCATGTCTTTAAAAACTCTTGTGTTTTGTGAAAAATAGGTGCTCCACAGTACTACATCATTCTTTGGGATGGTGCTAAACCTCCCAGTCTCTGCAGCTGGATTGTACAGATAGCATGTAAAGCATGTGCGTAAAAAAGTGTCTCCTTTTTGTGGCGTGCACTTAGGCACGTGTTTTGGAAAAAACTTCATCTGTCAGCTTCCTGTACAGGACTAATGAATCACTAAAACGGGAATATTTTTCCTTAGAAAACATCTGGGCTTGTTTTCTAACACAGGTTATGTGATGTTGGAGTGCAAGCTGGTAGTTTTGTAATCTAGGTAGTACTATGTCTGTATACACTTAGATGATTCAACAATCTCTTTTCCATCTTGTGTTCCAGTTTGTCTTCCTTACCATTCAGTGTCTAACTCTCAAGAAGACAGTCTAATTTCTTCTTGATTTCTAATTTGTGACTGACTTTCAATTTGCAAATACCAAATTAAGCCTTTTATTTCCTGGCACCCGTAGGGCCCATGAATGTCTACTGCTAAGGCTGTTCTAGTCCTGATTGCCCATTTTTCCTGGCTTAACTGTATTTTATCTTTTGTATTTTGAACCAGTTAGCCATATTTGTCTGCAAGATCAGTGCTTTGTTTGATCAGAGGTGTACAGACAGACTAATATCATAGCCTTATTTCCAAAGAAAACAAGGGAAAATGTGCCACAAGTTACAGAATGTCTTCAAAGGATCTTTAAGATTTGCCGACTACCAGTGATTACATAAAGAGGCAGAACGCAATATTTAAATTTAATTATTTTAGCAAGCTTTATTCATTAAATTTTATAGGAAACATATAATCAGTACAAGTGGAATACAACTTGCCAGTATTTCATTGTACAGCTGGGGGTCTTCTCACTCTAGGACACTTATTCTAGCGCTACAAGGAAACTGTAGCAATTTGCTACATTTTTCATCCAAAGATCTGAGTGTTAATTGCAAGCACTTCCGTGAAATAACCCCTTGTAGGGTTTAGTTCCATTCTGAAAAGGGAAGATGAGTGATTTCTGCTGTCCTGCACCAACCTAATGGTACATCATAGGATGCTTCCTTTTATTTGTAGCTTTGTCTTCAACCAGTGTTCCATGACTTCTTCTGGATATTTTCCCCTCAGAGGTCCTGTATTGAGACTTCTTTAGTTTTTCAAATTGTTGACATGTCTGTGAAAGCAAACCATAGAGTGTCAATTCACACTCTCAGGAGTTAACAGAGAGCTCTAATTGCACAGTAGTATAAGCAATGTATCTTGAAACTTATTGTTTTGGTTTATTAGAACAGCAGTAGAGAGTCAGGGCTTTTTAGAATGGTCTCCTTATAATTAAAACACTGCAAAATCTGGAGGTTTTAGTGGCATTGACACCTGCTACTGCTTCTGTCCCCAGCTAGTATTGTTCAGGGTCCCTGGTTCCACAATAGGATGTGTGAATGTTAATAGGTACTACCTCACAGCTGGTAGTAGGTACTACCTCACAGTAGGTCAGATGGATGGTGTAGTCAGAAAGCAGTTTTACTGTTTTTCTATAGGAAAGAAATTCCCAGAGTAGCCTTATCAGAGATCAGCGATAAACAAAGCTCTGTAGATACCACTCTTTGTCAGTGGTCTCCATGTTTGGAGAGTCAATGGAGCTTAAAATGTACATCCTTTTTCTTTGCCTTTTGTTGCAGGAGTCTAGTCCTCTTGATTTGATAGTGTGCCATTTTGAAAATGTTACTATGCCTGCTCCTTAGCCTCGCACAAATTATTTATTATTTATAGTCCCCTAGGAAATGTCCTCTGAATTTTAACTACCAGTTGTTGTTTGTTTATAATATAGACATTTATTAATCTGTCCCCATTTTTTGTGGCAACTGCTTAAAATAGAAAGGTTTTGTTCTTGTATGCAAAAACATATTATAAGAGAAAAATACTTTAACTACTTTGAAATGTCAATTTTAACAGAAAAATCAAAGATTTGCTAAACAGGCAAAGGAAAAAGTTCCCTGGGAAGGAAAACAAAAGTGTTTTCTTTTTCCTTGGTTGGAGGCCTTTTACAGCAAGACAGGTGAATTAGATAGAGGATGGGATATATTGCAATTATATGAAAAATCACTATAATCGTTGCAAAGGGAGGAAGATAAATGTATGTAACTGTACTGGTCCTGACCTCTCTTTCTTTGGTAGGCATGTCTGGCTCATGTACTTAAAACACAGCAAAGAGAGGCCAGTTGATGTTGTTTTTAGATATACCTGTGTGTTTATATATATATTTGGAAAAATAAAACAGCTGAATGACAGGAATCACTGACTAACAGAATCACAGAATGGGTCAGGGTAGAAGGGACCACAGTGGGTAATCTGTTGCAACCCCCCTGCTCAAGGGAGTTGTCCTAGAGCACATTGCACAGAATTGTGTCCAGATTGTTCCTTAATATCCCCAGAAAGGGAGATTCTACAACCTCTTTGGGCAATTGGTCACTGCACAGAAAAGAAGTTTGTCCTCTTGTTTAGGTGGAACTTCCTGTGTGTCAGTTTGTGCCCATTGCCTCTTGTCCTGTTTCTTGGCATCACTGAGAAACCCTGGATCCATCCACTGACACCCTTTCTTTAGATACTTGTAGACACTGATGAGAGTCACAGAATCGTTAGGTTTGGAAGGGACCACTGGAGACCATCTAGTCCAACCCACCTGACAAGGCAAAGTCATCTAGGGCAGGTTACATCAGAATGCGTCAAGTTTTTTTGGGTTTTTTTTTCTTTTGAGTGTCTCCAGAGAGAGAGACTCCACAATCTCGAGTATCCTGCTCCAGTGCTCTGACACCCTCAGTCTAAGGAAGTTTTTCTTCATGTTGAGGTAGAACTTCTCATGCCTTAGTTTTTGGCCACTGCTCCTCATCCAACATCAGTGCCGGATCACTCCACTGAAAAGAGTCTGGCACCATCCTCCTGACACCCACCTTTGAGATATTTCTGTGTATTGATGAGATCTCTTCTCAGTCTTCTCCAGAGCAAACAATCCCAGCTCCCAGAGTGTCTCCTCATGAGAGAGAAGCTCCAGACCCCTGATCATCCTTGTGGCTCTCCACTGGACCCTCTCCAGTAGCTCCTTGTCGCCCTTGTGCTGAGGAGCCCAGAACTGGACACAGCACTCCAGCAATGGCCTCACCAGGGCTGAGTGGAGGGGGAGGATCACCTCCCTGACCTGCTGGCCACACTCTTGCCAATGCAGCCCAGGATGACATTGGCCCTCCTGGCCACAGGGGCACTGGTGGCTCATGGACAGCTTGTGGTGCACCAGGAGTCCCAGGTCCTTTTCCACAGAGCTGCTCTGTAGGAGGTCAGCCCCAGGCTGTGCTGGCACTTGGGGCTGTTCCTGCCCAGGTGCAGGACCTGGCACTTGCCCTTGTTGAGCCTCACCAGGTTTCTCTCTGCCCAACCCTCCAGCTGATCAAGGTCCCATTGAATGGCAGCAGAGCTTTCAGGTGGATCAGCCACTGCCCCAGTTTGGAGTCACCAGCAAGCCTGCTGAGGGTGCCTTTGATCCCTTCCTCCAGGTCAGTGATAACAAATTCAATGAGATTGGACCCTTGGGAGCATCACTGACTGCAGGCTTCCACCGAGATTCTGATCCACTGATCAGGTTTTTTGAGGGGACAGGGAGTGTGGAAGGGAATTGTGAGGATTACATTCTGCATATCCCCTTTTGTTGGATGGGCAAAAGGGCATATCGCCTTTTTGCTGGAGCCTCTTCTTGGAGGAGATTTTGGGGGCTGTGTCACAGACTGGTTTCCACCACTGATGTGAAGTGTCTTTAAAAAAAAACTTTGTTGCACTTGCAGCCTATTGCAGCAGACATTGCTTTATGTTTTAGTGTTTGGCTAGTTCCAGCTGTCACATCAACCTGAGCTTTGAAAATCATTTTTCCATGTGGATTTTGTGCTCCCCTATTAGGACAGTGTCTTTACAAAGCTACTAAGCTGTGCAAATGTCAGTTCTTGATTCACCCCAAGGTCCATTCATCTAACCCACATTTCCTGAGCTTAGCTGCAAGGATGTTGGGAGAGACAATATATATATATCTGAGTTTGCCTCTCAATCATTTCTTCTTGAGGCTGAACAGACCCAGGTCCCTCATTCTATTTTAAGAAAGATGCTGCAGTCCCTTTGTCACCCTCTGTTGGAGCTAGTAGCTCCTTGTCTCTCTTGTAACAAGGAGCCCAGAACTGGAGAAAGCACTCCAGATGTAGCCTCACTAAGGCTGAGTAGAGGGGCAGGATCACCTCCCTTGTCCTTGACATGCTTGGCCACATTTAATTCCAGATGCACCTTGACCTCCCTTGTCTCATTTCTACTTACTCTGACAACCTGTCTATCTTCATTCTAAGTGACCTCTTTCCATCTCCTGTGTATTTTCTGCCTGGGTAATGACAGCTCTTCATTTGGTCATGCAAGTCTGTTACCCTCTTTGCCTGACTTCTTGCACATTGTGATGTGTTGTTCTTGAATCTGGAGGAGCTTATCCTTGAACATCAACCAACTCTCATGCCCCAGCAAGGTCTTCCCTGTTAGTGTGAGGTCAAGCAGCACAATATTCCTTGTGGGATCCGCCACTACCTGTGACAGGAAGTTGTCATCACTGCTTCTCAAGAACCTCCTGGGCTGTTTGTGTTTCATGGTGCTGGTTCTGCAGCAGATGTCAGAATAGTTAAAGCCCCCTACAAAAACCAGTATCTGTGACTCTAAGGCTGCTTTTTGCTGCCTGTAGAAGATGTCATCCACCTTCTCCTGCTGCTCAGGTGGCCTGTAGCAAACACCCACAAGTGTTACCTCTGCTGATCTGCCTTTTTATCCTGACCCATAAGCTCTTGACTCACTCACCATCCACCCCAAGATAGAGATCTATACATTCCAGGTGTTGCCTCAAGAGAGGGTAACTCCACCACCTCGCCTTCTTTGTTTGCTTCTCCTAAATAGCATATACTTATTACAGCATTCCAGCCACGTGAGCTCTCCTACCACATCTCTAATTGCAAAGGTCAGAGTCCTTTGACATCACACAGATCTCCAGTTCCTCCTCTTTGTTCCCCATTTTGTGTGCATTGGTGTACAGCACTCCATGGAAGTATTTGATTGTGTCAATATACCCAGTGGGAGTGCACAGTCTGTCTACTGGTTATGTCTTTGGATTCATGTACCCTCAGGAGGCATCCCCTCCTAAGCATCCTTTTGCTGCTTGGGTGATCACTGTAGTTCTCCCCTTCCCACACCTTTTCTCTGTCGAGCCTGGCCTTGTTCCTGTCCCCCTTTAAATCCAGTTTAAAGCTCTTTCAGTGAACCCTGCTAAGATCCTTTTCCTTCTTTGAGCTAGGAGGATCTCATTTGTTCTCAGCAGACTCAGTATCATATAAACTGACCCATAATCAAAACCCCACAAATTCTGATGGTAACACCACCCTTGAAGTCATATATTCCTCTGGGATTTTCCTGGGTTTTGCCCTATCATTCCCCACAACTGGAAAGAGAGAAGAGAACACAGCTTGTGCTCCAGATCCCTTGACCAGTTATCCCAAGGCCCTGAGGTCCTCTTGATCATTCACAGCCTTTTCATTGGGACTTTGTTGCTACCCACCTGGTAAGCAGGAAATGGGTAGTGATCAGTTGGCTGTACCAGTGGGCAGTTGGTGCTGTCTCTTATCTGGGCTGCATGGAGGCAACATACTTCTGTATAGGTTAATTCTGGTTGGCATATTGGGCTCTTCATTTCTCTAAAAAGGGAGTCACTACTGCCATTCCTTTTTTTCTTAATTGAGGAGGTCAAAATGTAGGGAGTAGGCTGCCCTGTCCTAGACAATCGGTCCAGCCTAGATGGACTTTCATCCACATTCTCATTTCCCTGATTCTGAGATTCCAGGGCCCCATACCTGCTGTATAAGGGCACCTAGGAAGGTAAGTAGTTTGGGAGGAGATTCACCTGCTCCCCTCAAGGAGAAATATGTTTCCACTCACCTCTGTCTCTAAGGTCCCATGTTGCCTGGTGGTGAGAGGGTGGGGGATCCATTGCTTCAGGTGAAGTGGACAGTGGGTGGATTTGAGGTGTGGCAGAATGCAGCTCCACCACTCAGTCTCTTCCTCAGGCTCCCTATTTCTTCTTAGTTTTTCTACTTTTTCTCTCAGCTCCAGTGTTAGGCTTTGTAAGTCATCCACCTGATCACAATTCACCCAGCTGTTGTCTCTGCTGCCCTGAGAGCAGTGCCGGGCTCCACAATTCCCTGCAGTCTGAGACCCAGACTCCTGCATGGTTTCATGGGCACTCCATCTGGGTTGCCACTTCTTTTTTGATGTGCACAGAGGAAGTAACTTTTGTCCAAACAAACACCACACCTCAGCTCAATAACTGAGAGTGAAGATCACCAACTGAGCTAAGTGCTTGAGGTGGCAGTGCTTCAGTGCCCTTCCTGCTTGCCCTGCATGTGCAAACAGTGTCATGGTGCTCTGGCTCATGTTTCATGCTGTTTGCCCTCTCTGTTCATTGTGTTGCTGCTTGCTTGCCCTCCCGGGGGGCAGCTTTAGTGCGTGTGGGGGTGGGCCCTCTCTCCTCTACTGCCATCTATGCTCAGGTCTCCAAAAGAAAAACCTTTTGAAGTCTCTGTGTCATTATATTTCTAGTTTTCAGTTCTGTTTCCATGCCAGAATAAAGGCTAATGGTGTAGTAAGAAGTAGGATAAAATAGTTTTGCAGTAGCACCTGATTTTTTGTTAAGGTTTCTTGGAATGGATAGAGCTCTGCAACTCAGTGAGGTGCCCCTCAAAGCTCAAACACCAAAGGAAACCAGCTTGCCAATGTTTAGGAAGAAAAGTCCATGTCTCTTTCAAGAACTGTGCTTTTAAGCTTTAAAGAAAACTCTAGAAACAGTGTCTGGTGTAGCAAAAGAAATTATTAGCCAGTAAAAGAGAGACGGTCTATTTTCTTGCAAAACTTACATTTCTGAAGTCAAAGGTTGTCTCATTTACTTTTGCATATTACCATATCACAAAAAGCATTAAAAAAGCTCCTTAATTAGTAAGAGCACTGAATATTGGTATTGCTGCCCAACAACCCTGTAGGGATCACAGTTTGTTTACTTAGATATTGGCCTTTCACCTGTGATGGCCAGAAACCATAGGCTGTTTACTAAATTTGGCTCACCTTTTCAGTTCCTTCCAGTCATGCTATCAGTGTTTTCATCTATAAAAATCAAACACTGTAAATAATGCAGTAGCACTGAAAGTATTGTCCATGTTCATACTTTATTTCAGCATAGTAAAGTGACATATGTGGCCTGTTAATTGCATTTTGAAATTAAATATTTTAGTGGCCTACTCTATTTTTGTATGGCTTGAAGTATTGTAATAGCATTACAAATTCTTTCCCTTCCAAAAAAATTATAAAATATTTATTTGGTCAAAGACATTTTGAACTGACTAGGGTACATCTCTATAGAAGCGTGGAATCTTCTATTTTCATTCTAGGGATAGCTGTGTATATTTTTTCCCTTTTGTGCTTGATGGAGGAGGTAAAAGAAACTAGGGTGCCTTGCTCACCACTAGTTGGGACCTGTACCAAATAGTAAGCAGGAGAATATGGCTGGATAATACCATTTTGCTTCTTTTTGGACCACTGCTACAGGAATAATGTCACTCTGTGTTCAACAAAATTGTCCATAGCTCTAAGAGAGGCATCTGAAACTTAAATAAAATCCTCAGTTTTCATCATCATATGGACTTGTAGTTGCATCCATGTTTGCCTTTTTGTGACCATGTGTTGTAGCTGAAGTATTAGCGTTTAACTTGATCTTATGCAGTCTTTGTGAGCAGTGCCTAAAATTTATTATCTCCCTATGCCAGTGGAGCCTGTTTAAATGTAGTCACTATTTCAATCACAGCAGGTTTTTATCCATCAAAAACCCAGTTTAAGTCTCTGAGGTCACTTAGAACTCTCAGTGTAGCGTCTTGATTCCAGTACTGCAGTCTGTATCCTCTAACTGTAGTCCTGGCATTTCCTGACTTGTTACCGTCTTAATTTCTCTATACCAGCTTGCTATTTTAAATCTCCCTCTTTCCCTATTTCAGGGCATTTAGAGGAAAAAAAATGTTCTGCAATTTAAAAAAATCTATTATGGTACTAGGCAAAATAAAAACATCTGTATTACACTGTTCTTTTGAAAACTCACTTCTGTATGAGACCTAATTAATCTGTGAATATATAAGTAGGGGGTTGATTACAAAGTAATTAAGAGATCACCTTTACTTCCCCTTTTCCAGCTGCTGCCAATCTGTCTACGTTTATGTTCCAGAGCCTTCCTTATTTTTTTCTTCTCCCTTATACTAACTTTATTTCTTCTTTGTAAAGCAACGATCTTTCTTAAATTGGAGCATGTAATTCCTTACTAAGCAATTGTTGTTAAGTCAACTGATAAAACTGCATTGTGGACAACCAGATGCAGGCTATTGGAGTACTAAGGGTTATCATCAGGAACTAGGAATCCATTTGTAACTGAAGACTGTGCAAACTTTACTTTGTTATTTTGTTTTCATGTATTTCATTGTTTAACAGTTTTTTAGGAGAGATAGTTTTATCATCATTACTAATAATATTTGTTCCTTTAGTGTGTTACTTGAATGTGAAGAAAAAAGAAAGTATTTTCTTTCATCTTTTGTCTAGGTAAAAATGTTTTGTTAAGTAAAAAAACTTTTTGTTAATATTTCTTCTGGGTTTTTTGTTTGGTGTTTTTTTCTCTTACCCCAGGAGTACCAAGAAGCAGCAGAGAAAAATAAGGAAAAAATTTATGTCCTTGAAAAAAGTCAAGAGAAATTGGCTCTTGAAAACATTTCTGTGAAAAAGATGTTAACACAGTTTCAAAAGGAGCATTCCTCCCTCCTGGCAGCCTGTGCACTACTGGCAGGGGCCCTGTATCCTCTGTATGGCAGACTGTGTGCTATGTCTTCCCAAAGAGACCTTCTCCAGGATCAGGCAAACATTTATGAATTAGTGAACCAGAAGATTAGGACCTTAGTTCTTGCTCTCTCTGATGATAAGGAAAACAATCAGGATGAAGCAAAACTAAAGAGAAGAAAATCTCAGGGCCTGATTTATGTATTCCGAAGAGCTGTGATTGCAGTTTTGGCAGCCAACAGACTTAAGGTTTTAGCACAGTCTTCTAGTTCCCTCTTCACCTGGACAAATGGCTTAAAAGAAGGCATTGGAATTCCTGTTTGTGTAGGAGAATCCAAAGGCAAGCGTAATCTGTTAAGTAAGCTGATTTTTTTCTTCTTTTATAAATGTTGTGTCAAAAGACATGGCTAGTGAATAACATATAGTAATATTATTTATAATAGAGTGTAAATACAAATTTAATGACATTTTAACAAATGTAATTTCTGAATTTGGAACTTCTAGATAACTTGATGCATGTAATTTCCCCTAAAATGAAATGCTTAGTCTGTTTGACAATGCAAGTAAAGTTGCAACTACACACGTGAGCTCCCATGGTTTAATACCCTCAATATTTGCACTGTAGATTTCAGAACTAGGTCCTACTGCATCTGCTCTATGTGATAAATTTCTTGAAATGTTCCTACATTATTTGCCACCAACATTATTTTTGAGAATGTGTATTCTTTTAGTAATAACTTGTAGTACTTATTTCCTATTGAAAAATGCGAAAACGTTTCTTACTGATTCAGGTAAAATATTAATGTAAGATTTCTGGATTTCCTTTAGAGGAAATACATATCCTCTTAGTCCCTTTCTGTTACCAAACCAGCTTATGTATCCCTCTACAAGGAAAAATTGTATAAAAAATGCTTTTGAATCTAGAAGATTCATCCAATTTTCTGGTTTAGTGCTAGTGGAAGGATATTTAATACAGTCTAAATTGTCCTGAAAATAGTCAATGGCTTATGAACTTTTAGCTTTAGTCAGTTTCTGAAAGAGAAAGTAGTGTGCCTCATTTAAGTTATTGAGTTATATTGGTAGCTACAATTCTATTCCATAGGTTGTGAAAATGAAGAGCTTGACTGTGTGGAAGCACTCAGCTGGTTTGCTAGTTCCAACCTCCTTGCTGCAATAATCAGTTCTGTCACTGAATTGCAGGATGTTGTCAACAAACCAGGTAATTTTAAAAGTATATTCTTGTAGTTGAAGATTAAAAACATAATCAGGGTGGTTGCATCATCTCCATTTTTAGGATTTATTTAAACTATTCTAGATCAAATCTCCTGAGAGCTGTATTGATGGAACAGATTGAATTTTCTTTAATTGGTGATGTGATACTTTATCCTTCTGGTATATAGAGTCATGGGAACAGAAGGCTGGAGAGTGCTTTTAGAAAGCATTTATATCATTCTGCCTGTTTGACTGTGAGATATTAAAAATAATCTAAACCACACAAATAGATATTTGGCTAACCTGTTTTTAAAAGCTTAGCCTAAAAAGTAGGCTAACCTTTTAAATTAAGTAACTCTTACAAGGTTCTTGTAAGAACCTTGAAGTAACTCTTACAAGGTTCCCAGTTATCTTCTTCATCTGGTCTAATATTCAAGAAGTGTTTTCCTGGAGCTCAACCTAATATTTTTTTCTATGAAGAAAATCTATGTAGTTTTGTTTTTATTTGATTTGTGTATTTCTTAAGTACAGGCTCTAAAACTGGCATGTCTTCAACTTGGAACATTACAGCTGCTGACTGAAAGGAAATAATTTCATACCGTGTTTTATATTATATGAATTTAATAGTTGCAAATCTGAAAAACAGTGAATTTCATAGATAACATTTTCATGTGCTTTATTTGCTATCTTACTGTTTTGGAGAGAGAAATAAAATGCACTCAGTTTCTACAATGCATAGCAGTCCTTATTTTATGTCTCTGCAATGTTTCTTCTCTAAGTTTATGTTTAATTAGGTATGTGTCTAGATTTCCTAATTTTCCCAGTCTCTGCTTCTATAGAATTCTACAATGCCTATGAAAAATTGTAGTGTCAGTCTTTGGAAATATCACCTCACGATTCCCAGCTGTTAACTATTTTCCTTTATTTATTTGCAGAAAGAACTGACCTAAGAGTTTGCTTGGTTCTCTGCATTGCTGCCATCCTTAGTTCTTTAGTAAACTGTAGTTTTAAAATACCAGCACTTCTGTCACAGAATAAAGGATGTTTAAGGAGAGATAATTTATATGAATAAATGGAAGTAGCAGGACAGTAATAAGATGATTCATTTCCCAGAAGCCCAAATAACAAACCGATCCCAGAAGATGATGAAACAAAATTGTTTTGATTCAGTTTCATAGCTTTCTTCTTTGGTCATCCTGTTTTCAGTAACTTAAATTTATATCCTTACAAAGCGAAGTTTGAACTGTATTTCAGAGTATTTACAGGGTTTATACTGCAAGTGTTCCTGTGTACAGAGTATTGTGTAGGAACAGCAAATTGGAGAAGAATTGAGAGAAATGGAGCAGCAGCATGGATCTGCTGAAGCGACTGATTACAATACCTTAAACATCATGATATTTTGGCAGTTTGAACAACATGGGAATTCTACTGGTCTCTCTTTACTAGATATCTCTGCACTCAACACAGGCTTGATTTTGAGAATTAGGAAGAACCATGCTGGGAATGTTATGACCACAGTCAGTTTGGTGATTCTTTAATATCTTATGTCTATTTAAGTAATTTCCACAGAATCTCAACGTCTATCTGCTCATGTTTTACTTGGAATTCTGTTGCTCATGAGATCAAGTCTCCTAAGAATTTCTGGGTCCAAAAATAGTAATAAATAATTTAAAGTTTGATATGAAATTTCCAGAAATGTTGAAGTAATTAGGCTCTGAAGGAATATATTTGAAAGCTTCCACACTTAGAAAATTACATTATGTTCTATAAGTAATAGTTTAAGTAGAACTTAAATCTTCAAACTGACTTCAATTATGTTGAATTTCTTAAAAAATTATAAATAGGCAATCCTTTCATGTCTTTAAATAATGGCAGTTCCAGATTAGACTGTATGTCACAGGAGAGAGTGCTATAAGAAGGTGCTGTCTGGATCATCGAGATGGAATGATTCAGTGTTTTAGAAATTATGTTTAAAAATGGCTAGGCTCTGGGGAACCATTTGAGGCACCTTTCTCAGTCTTTTAAATAAGTGGTTCTGTTTTGACATTGATGATCGTTTCTCTTTATAGTGTTAGTTAGTTTGGGACTCATTCCAGCATGCCTTGGAATGATCTCTTTGCTTCAGTTTCAATGCAAATTCATTGCAGTGTTGGAGTTTTTTTGTTTGTTTTGGGTTTTTTTGTAAAGTTAGATTTTAGGTTTGTTTGAACAAAATCTGTACTGTCATAAACCAGAGACAGTAACAGCCAAAGTTTTCACTACAAATATCATCAACTGTTAAATACATAAAGCTTTAGAAGTTTGACATGAACATTTAAGTCTTGCATAGTACAAAGTTAATCCTGCTGACTGGTGTTCAATTTCACCAAAACAGAATAAACAAGAATTGTTTTTTCATCTTTCAGTGAAGTAATATTTGACACTTTTTTCCATTTACTTAATGTAAAACTTAATTGCTTTGTTGTATACCTGTATTTGTTTTAATAATTTCTTAGAGACATCATAAAGTACATAATTTAACACATAATTTAATTTTTATTGTAATTCTTTCATCCTTCATGGCAGGTACTTAAGATATATATACTTAAACAGTCTATTATCCTCTCAGTTATTATAGATGCAGTTCCTTGTGGAACTGATTTATGTTTTCATTTTATCTTTCAAAGCAATCAGTAACTTCCTTCAAAATATTTCTGTCTATTTAGTCAAAGCTACTCTTCATAAAAATAATGGAGGACATGACTATTTATTGCTATCCCAAGAAAATGCCTTAAGCTGTGATCAAGCTGTGTCAGGGGAAATATAGGTTGTATATTAGGAAGAAGTTTTTCACAGAAAGAGTGATAAAATATTGGAATGGCCTGCCCAGGGAGGCGATGGAGTCCCCATCCCTGTATGTGTTCAAAAAAAGACTGGATGTGGCACTTAGTGCCATGGTTTAGGTAAGGTGTTAGGGCACGGGTTGGACTTAATGATCTTTAAGGTCTCTTTCAACCTGGTGATTCTGTGATTCTCAGATATCTTGAACTGTGCTGGTTAAGGGGAGTGCTTGTTGAGAAGTGGAATGATCATTTGAAAATGCTACAACACATTTGTCTGCATTATTATTTTAAATTTACTTTTGATACGTTTAAACATGAGATTCTAGGCATAGGGAAAGTGCTGCCATGCTAGGTACTGCACATATGGAGAAACAATATGTGCTTCTGACAGGAAAACAATATCTCATAACCTGAGACAGCAAGTGGAAATACTAGGAAAAGCGAAGGAGCAGTAGCTCATTGAGCTCCTTTATTCTATATATTCCAAAAACCATGGCAAAGGACAGTTTTTGAGAAGGTTTTGGCATCAGCTTACATAGAAGGCCATAAAAATGTTCTAGTTTTAATTTAGGTTAATTTAACTAAACATTCAACTAGTGAATGCATTCTGACTGGAGAATTGAAATAGCAGTTTTTTCTGGGTATGAAAAGAATATTTTTTTTTATTGCAAAGGATGTTTAGTTAGTTGAAGTGCAAGATGAAAATGCCTCATCAGAATTTTAACCTCAAAGGTGCTATTTTAGTCATGAAGAAATGTCAGATCTACTAGTCACTGAAGTTATGGAGAGCATGTACTCAAAAATGATACTCCAGTTAAGCACTGGATTCATTGGAGTGGTGCTATTTCAAACCTGAACAGGAAAATGGCTTTGAAAATAAAATATTTGATTTTATCATGTGCTTTTTTTGTTATTGCTTACAGATAAATCTCAGCCTCACATGTAAATGATCTTCTTTACAATGAGATTTGTAATAAAAACACATCAATAATCATGTTCTGTTTGCTTTGTACCTCTGGCTTTTTCCCTCACAGTCTATAAACAGAAATTCCTTAACTTAAGCCAGGGTTATTTTTTTCTGTTTATACTCTTAAGCAAATATTTTAGTTCACTGCAGCAACAGGAGATCTCCTGTACTACTGAATGTAAATAAGCTCTTCCATGCTTGTCATCTTACACTGATAGTATCATAAGACAAGTAATGACAGATTAAGACCTGCCTAGCAGAGGGAAAACTAAATTACAAGACTTTTATTAAGGCATAAATAAACCTATTAACTGTTATCTGGAATACCAATTAGTGGAAGGAGCACTGACAATTTTATTTATCAACATTAAACACAATTATTAATTACAGACCTGACGAATCTAGCAGTAAGCAGGACATGTTGGGTGTGCTGGGGCCTTAAGTCCATTATATGAGAAGGATGATTACCAAAATCCTGTGGGGAAATACGTAATTGTAGCTGTAAAATTTTAATTGCCTTGGAATAAGGTAAATTATATTCTCCTGTCTCAGAATATAAATAGTATGGCATTAAGGTACCAAGCCTCACTAATTTTGAACAGCAAATGATTTAGACATCTGTAGAGGGGAGGGAGGAAAAATCAGGAAACCCTCAGAAGTTTGCATTGTAAATATTACAACAAAGTGTTTCACCATGTGCTATTACTTCTGACTTATTTGACTTGACTTCCATTTGCTTGCATTTGTCTTGCATGTTTTCTGAATTACAAAATTAGAACACTAAAGTCTTTAGAAAGGATGGTACTGGAGAACATGATAACAACTGGACAAGTAGTCTGTGACAAAGAAATCCTATTCTTTAGAATCTTATTCTACCCTCCCATTTGCAAATTGATAGGATTAGGATTTTCATTGCTAAATACACAATTTGTCTTCAAGTCTCTCTCTGAAATATTCCTTTGAACTCAATCTTCCAGTCCTTAATGGAAAATTTCTATTGAGTAGCTTTAAGATCTTCTTTATTGTGGTTTCTTTCACTGAAAGAAACTGAAACTAATAACCTACTTGATGTTTCTTTTCTGTGTTTTGATTTGGGTTTTCTTGTTTTGTAGGGGTTTTTTTGTTTGTTTGTTTGGGGGTTTTGTTTGTCTGGTTTTTTTTTTGTTGTTTTTTTTTTTTTTAAGGTACAAAGTCCTGGCTTTCTGGAAAGTTACTGTTAAATGCAGCCAGGAATTCATTTTCAAAACTTATGGACAAGCTGAGTGTTATAATGGAGACGGTTCCATTAGACCACTGCAAATGCATTACTTATCTGGAGAAAGACTCCTTGGTACAGAGCCTGGCTCATGGACTCAATAAAATAAATACCCAGGCCCTGGAAGATGGATTGTGTGACAGAGTATCCAGTATGGTATGCATAATTATAGTCCTACTTTATGTAAGCAGTAGGTTCATTGTCTAAGTGTTGGGATGAAGCTATCTGGATAGCACCATAATTTTGTTTCAGTTTATGAGACTGTTACATTGAACAATTACAACTATGTAGACATCAGATTCCCAACACCCGGAAGCATTAGAGCACCAATGTACTTTTTCTTTTATGTCAAAGAATTTTAAGAAGATATTTGATGTATCTAAGAAAAAGGGTTTTTAAAGTTCTTTCAAAGTTGTATTTGCTTTGGAAGAACTAATTTGCTTTTGGCTTCAGTTAAATGTTACGGAGTTGTTTCTTTGTTGTGGTTTCTTTTTTGGGGGGTGGGGGGTGGTGTTTCTGTTTTCTCGTGCTTTGTGTTCCATCTTTCAGTAAAGATAGCCTTTTCCCTATAATCAGAGGGAAAGGAGAAACCTGAAATAATTGGTCTTTTATTGTGGGCCTTACATTAAAATAGTACTTTCTTGAAAACAGAACTTTCAGTTACCCTCAAGAGTACGAAGGTGAAACAAGTTCACATTTTGCACTCTTGCATCTTAGAGATGATGGACAAAATGAGAGTTTTGTCCAATTTGCTTGGGTATTACATGTGACTCTTTTCTTGATAAAATAGTTCATGTTAAAGCATATAAATTTCTTTCTGATTATTAACAGAAAAACATAGAATCCTTGCAGAAGCAAATATTTGAATTTACACAAAGACTACATACAGCAGAAGTGGAGCGCCTCTCACTGCGCCTACAACTTGCAGAATTCAAATCAAATTTCAGTGAGATGAAAAAAGAAGCGGACAAAGCACAGAGGCTGCAAGAGCAATTAAATATGCTTAAGCAAGTAAGTATATTTGATTTAGAGGTGACTGCTTATAAGACATGTTTGTGTGTATTCTTTTGAAAATAAGTATAAAATCATTCTAATATTAAAAGAATTTTCCAGAAGATTTGCATTGTAAGGGTCACTAAACTAGAAGTCAGATGTGTTTAGAAAGGCTTCCCTTCCCCAAGAGTTTCTTTTTGATTTGTAGAATGAGATGCTCTTGTAAATTATATGTTTGGTCTTCAGCAACCAGGTTTTCTTCTGTGTGTTGAAAATGTTGATGTGATTTATGTACCCCAAAAACATCTATCGATCTCATTTCAGCAGATTAAAGTCAGCTGCCATGAGGGTATTGAATAAGTGTGTTCATGAGAACTTCAAGAAGTATAAACTCTGTGTGGATATCGCTGAATATTATGATAGACATTTTTTTGTATCTTTGATGCTGGGTTATGACCTGAGCTAATCAATGCAAATTTTAGTGTGGCTGTTCCTCTGAAGGACTAAGTTTATGGAAGGGGAAAAAAAGGCTCTCTTCTACATTCCTGCTAGCATGTATGCACCAAATTCCTCTGACTTCTAGCTGTCACTGATTTATTTACTTAAACACAGTGCATTCGCTAGCCTGTAAATAGGTTGTCCAACAGGAGCAAGAAGACACAACAAAAAGGTTCCTTAACTGCTTGAAACCACAGTATTGTGACTAATAGACATGGTAATTAAGGGGTAATGGTATTTGGTGGGTTCTCAGTTAGACCCCTGTCATATGTACAGAACTGTGTCTTCAGCCCTTGGAGGGGAAGAAACTTGTTTTGCTTTAGCATGCTGGAGGTTCACTATGAATCTTGCCTACTATGCTTATTTCTTGTAGGTTGCATTCAGAATTGAACGTATGTTTGAACTATTTGAGATTGTTAATGGTTAAGAATTAAGAATGGTTAATGAATTCATGTTCAACAGGTACACTGTACAGCTAAAACAGCTGTGGCCCAGAAAAAGCTGTGTTTTCTGTGGCTGTGACCTGATACTGAAGCATAGTTAGTAGACTCATCAGTGTGTCCCAATCAAGATACTTCCAAGCAGAGAGTATTTAACAGATAGTGTCAAATCAATTCTTCTTCCTATTCCTAGCTGGTAAAATATTGGTTTTTCTTACTCAAACGGACAAAATTATATCTGCTTATCTTCAGTTTTGCTCATACTGAGTTTTAATGCTTACAGTTCTGGGAAAATTGGAAGAAATTATCACAGTTTAGATTGCCATTCAAGTGTTGACAATTATTTTCCTTGAAGAACTATTTTGTCTTTCTGGAACACTTTTGGAAAGTGAGAAGGAGTTCAGGAAGATGCTTACAAGGATTGGCAAGATATGCACTAAAATGTGGGACATTTATCTGCATATTTCCTTCTAAATATTGGTTCTTAGCAATCTCGGGTGTTAATTTGAATAGAATAGCAAATGCATACTGTTTACAGTAGTCTGAATGCTGTTTTGAAAAAATACAGTGAATAAAGTTGTCTGGCCATTTCATTGCTTGGTGGTCTGTCTTTGAGTTAAAAAACCTAAATAAATAATAACCTTTAGCATACTTTTATTTTAGAATTTAATGTGCTCCCAAGTGGAACTTGGGAAGTCAAGTATGTAAACAGGTAAGTATAGTAACATAATCAAACACAATTTATTTTTCTTATCAGAAATTAATCACCCATGAGAGGTTTGAAAGTGTATGTGAAGAATTAAATAATGCATTACATCGGGAGCATCAGGCACAATTGCTTTTGAATGAACAAGCACAACAGCTACAGGAGTTAAATAATAAACTAGAATTGCAATCCAGTGAAGAAGCAGATAGAACCCAAGTCTTAAGTGAATCTGTAAAGGTAAGATGATTAGGCACTAATTAGGCACCTGAAATTTTTTTTGGTGAATAAGCCAAATGTCGTAGTTCTTGTGTAAATAAAATGTAAATGCAACATACTACATAGCCCATTGAAATTTTAGGGTACTTAGAAACACTTTCAAGATTCTTCAATGTATAACATCACTTTTCTGCTCTTGAAACTGAGTGGTGTGCACTAATATATGTGAAGTGTGTGAAATTTATAGGGGACATAAGTGACAGATCTAGCTATCACAAGGTGTTTACAATTTATAGAAAAAATAAATGAAAAAGTACAGGGATACTTTGATTTTTGATAGAGGTCACAATAATATTTTAAAACCTGGATTGTCTGTTTCCTGAATATAATCTTAGGATGGAGCATACATTTGTCAGTTTGGAATATGCAAGGTGACAATAGAGATATATCGTTTTTTCATCAGAATTTAGAACTTTCTGTAGATGTAATGAGTAATGAGGGAAAAGATGATGTTATCAGAATCTCTGATGACAAACAAAGGAACAGAGAGAGTATTTGAGGTATTTGAGAGTATTTGAGTATTTGAAACCAGGTGGATCTCTAACATGGGAAGAGAGAAAACTTTGTGATGGCAAGTCAGTAATGGGTGGTGACCTGAGCTCGGCAGCTTTTAGTTATTTTCTATTTAAAGCAAGCTTTGCTGCTTGTGTGTGCTCTTCAGCCCTACTACTGTCTTTTCATCTCCCAGTTTTCCTCTGTGAATTGATAACTGAGCAAAGGGACTGCTTCACCAGTATTTTGAAAAATACAAGCACTTGTAATTCTGAGAGAGGAAGTGTCAAGTAGGAGGAGAACCAAAATGATTCCAGCTGCAAAAGTAGTAGGAATGTCATAAATATTGAAAATATTACAATGAAAGTACATGTCAAAGAGGATGAGTTGCAGCAAAGTAGAGATTTCAAATGATGTATAGTGGAGGATGCTGAAGGAAGTTGTTAAATTTATTAAGGAGTGTTTTCACTGGTGTTATTATTTACTAAAAATGCCTTACCTCACTAAGGCTAAAAGATCGTGACATTTCCAATTTACCTGTTGGTTTCTGTAGGTTTTTTTTTCCTCCCTCATAATTCCCTAGTCTTAGGTGTTTCACTTGATAAATAGCTAGTGTTTTCAGTCAGGTTACTTGTTAATACTATTGCTATTTTCTTTCTGATATAACTGCAGTGTATATATAAGATGTTAGTCTTGTGTTTCATTTCTTTGAGAAATGCTTGATTCAAGATTTTTAAATGGCTATTAGGAATATAAAGAAGGCAATGTCTAGAAGACAAATCGTATTTGAAATCTTCATTTCTGTCTACTTTTTGTACATTAATACATGTTTTTTCACCATGTTTTACTTGTCTAAAACACACGTTTTCATTTGTTCAGAGACTGTGAAGAGAAAGGTCAATTGCAGGCAATCAAAATATAGGAAGAACTTTTAAACAAATAGGTTACATAGATTATTGGATACTGAATTACATTTCACAGCTTCTGTTTTTTATTAATTGAAGGCTACATACAATTTTTTTTGAGACAGTCATGATCCTAAAATGCATCCTAATTCTGCAGTTCTTTAACAGTTGTTTGCTACTGGAACAACTTAATTTAGTGTAAAATGCTTGGTTATTGCTCAAATCTTTCAAGATACAATGCAATGTAATAATATAGGTGATAGAATAGAGGCAAAGAACATTGACAAAATAAACCTTAGGGCTACAGTTTGCTACTGACAGGTAGACTGGTTTGGTTTATTACTTTGTAAGTATCAATCCTTTCCATTGAGGAGTTTTAAACCAAATTTAAATTGTAGGCTTCTTACTCTGTACTGTTCCTCAACTTAGAAAATTAATTGATATATCTTAATTTCTTCATAATATTTACTACAAAATGTAGCACAAAATTGCATTTTTGTTGTAACGGCATGTATCTGTGACTGAATCAAAAAAGGAGACAGGTAAGTTGTGGTAACATGTCAAAACATGAGAAATATCTTGTGGTCCTTGATTTTTTTTTAGTCATGCAGATACAATTTTATAATGTATGCATCCTAAATCATCATTTCACCTTCACTTTTTATCGTTGTTTCTACAATTCCAAACCTGTGTTGTATAAGTACTTTCAAAATTCAAGTGGCAGTCTAATATAATACATTGATACCAAGGAGTAAAAGTGGTTCTTAAATTTTGAGCCCTATATATTTTGGTTTTTAAAATTAAAGAAAAAGTCTCTTTTCTTTCCCACAGTTAACCACCACCCAAGCTTGTTCATGCCTTTATTCACAACAGGAAGAAATGGTCTCTGCCCTGGCATCTTAATTGATAGACTCTTTTATTTAGCTTTGTTGGGTTTTGTGACTTAAAATGTTTGGGGGTTTTGTGGGGCTTTTTGTAGCTTTCATTTTTCAGTACAGTGAAACAATCTCATCTTTGCAATAATCAACCTTGCCCTTGTAAAACAGTGTTCTTAAAATTGTATAGGGTTTCAAGTGAATGCTTAAATAATACAGAAAAAAGAAGAGCATTTTTACTGTTGCACTGTAAAAAAACAAAATATAAAATAAATGCCTCCATCTTTATTTTAAGATACAAAATAATATTACTTGTATAGACTTAAGTGTATATAAAAATTTGGTGAGTGTGGTGGCATACAAGTAAAGTCAGGTAGATAGACATGGTGTGAAAAAAAAACCAGACATGCTTTGAATTCTTTAATCATAATTTTTAAACAGGTAAGAAGAAGAAAATTAAAATATTAGATACTTCTGCTTTTGATAGCTTATTTTTAAACTTATTCACAGTTTGACAGCAATCAGTAAGGAGATATTTTAGTATTCACGTACTTTCATAAAGTAGGCTTATTAAAGGAGTAATACTTAATTTCTTAGCTTTATCAGTTCAGATTTTAATCCTGTATATTTTTATCTTCTTAGTGGCATATACCATAGAGACATCCAAAGTAGCCAATTACATTCAAGGTCAGCTGGAACTAAGCAACTCTTTAACAGCACTTCTTTTTATTAGATGAGGTGAATCATTTGCTCTGGTTCCTTATTCTTTGAAGAGAAACTCTTACACAAATAACATAAACAGGTATCAATAACAGACATATTTTTAATTCCTGATACCAGCTGGTCTTAATCAAGTAAAGTATTTATGTTTCTTATTGATATGCACAGCCTATATATTTATTTCTTTTTAGGTATGGTAGTACCTGTATATTTTTAAGGTTCTATTTATGGAACAATTTCTATAAATTGTTAAATAATAGCTCCAGTGCAATAGATGTTAAATCATATAGCTTGATACTGATATGCCTCAATATAAACTTCAATACTTGTTTTAAAAGAAGGTACCCTAAATTTTGGGTTGTTTAATCTGGTGAGTTTAGTGAAGCTGTGATTAGTTTATGACACAATAAAATTATGAGGAAAAAAAATTTCATACAGATGCTTTGATAACACTCACTAAAAGGTGTTTTCTGGTGGGAAGATTTGAAGTGTTCTTTTCAATACCTATGCCATTGAAATCATACATACATATTCTTTGTTCAGTGCATCCTTCACTAAATAGATACATCTGAATTTACTAGATTCAGATGAAGATTGGGATTCCTCTGTTTGTTAGAAGTGAATGTTTCTCTCATCAGGCTGTCTATTCTTGGGTGAATTTGAGGTGAAAATGATACACAATTTTCTGCTTTTACTTGCTTTTCTTCTTCATATATTTATAGACATATATTTTCTCTGAAAGACCATTTCAAATATTTACACAATTTCTTTTACTAATACCACTACACATACTTTGTGAGTGAATTTTTGCAGTTATTTACGAAAATGCTGCAGTATTCTAACTTGGAGAAAGGCTAAAAGACTTCACTTACCTGAGGAAGATGAAGTGATTTTCATGCTCCTCAGAAAGATTGCATTAACAGTAAGAACAGAACTAGGATTTGAGATTTCTTTTTCCTTCGACATCTTAAGTTGAAAAGATTGCTAGAATTTGGATGCACTGAGGGATACAGTTGGTTCTAAAAACTTGTTTGTCTCTTTGTCAAGAAACTGCATTTCTGTGTATTGCCGGATTAAATGTAAGGCTGTTCCTTAAAGAAAGCAATATGGCTGATTACTGCTAACATCTAACTTAACAGAAGATTTATATTAGTGAAATTTGGCATTTAAAGAGGAGCAAGCCTCTCTTTAACACTTCTAACCCTCCTGAATAGGTTAGAAACTAAAATTCATAATTCATTAATTAAATGTGGGGGGTTGTTGGGTTTTTTTTTTAAAATTCCATACTGTCTATGTTCTGAACGCCTAAATAACTTATAAAGTAGGTAAGAATGGATTAGTATTGTCATCTGCTGTGTTCTTAGTCAAAAGTGGTAATGTGTCTTCTTAGTACAATAAATAGGAGGTTAAGGAGATTTGTCAGGTACTTCAATTTGTGTTAACACTATTTGTAAAATAAATAGAACTGTTCATTCTGCTCTATTACATAACTTCCACTACTGCTAACTTCTTAGTCTTCAAAGATTTATATGTTACCTAGAAACTTGTCATACAGCTAGTCCTTTGTGCTATTTTTTTTATAGTTTGCAATGCATTGCATGTGGAATTTAGGTTTATGGGAAGGGATAGTCTTCCTTCTAGCAGCTGCTGTCTTTACATAATAGGAAGACACATAGATAGCACAAAATTGTGGGTTAGATCTGAGAGCTCTTTTTTGCAAAAGGAAACAGAACACAGCCTAAATAAAGTCTGCACTCTACTATTATTAGTGAGTCTGTGTTTCAGATCTCCGAACTTCACTTTAAATTTCATGCTTCTGTGGTTTGTTCAGGGAGTTAAATTCACTGAATTACAGGAAATACTTGGTTAGAAAGGATTTACAATGATTATCAACACCCAGCTCCTGGCCCTACACAGGGCTATCACTGTCACACCATGTGCCTGAGAGCGCTGTCCAAATGCTTCTTGA